CCGGGCACTTAGAAACTTAGAAAAACAACGCTAGCTTAGGCCACTTAAAAACTTAGAAAAATAACACCAGATGGCCATGGAAACATCCAATATTCCCGGAATGTAAACAGAAAAACAATTCCAGGAAAAATCCTCATGCGGTCCCACCCCAACCAATCAGAGAAAAACACCTTGCTCAGGCCATAGCTGGTCTGCCTCAACCAATCAGGGAAAAACCCCTTGCTCGCGCCATAGCTAGCTCCAATCATTTTAAACCTTAAGCTTTGTTTGAATTTCGCGCCTTAAGCTTTGTTTGAACCTGTGGTGTTTGCCTATATAAACTGCCTGTACCAAGCAATCGGGGTCCTTTGCCACCTTGGTGCAGGGGACCCTAGCGCGCTAGTAATAAATCTCTCTGCTGTGACTCCTGTGTCGAGTGGTCTCTCGCGACGACCCCCTTTCCCAGGAAGGAATCTAAATCTAGGTTCCAACAATATCACCTTTTTTATAGGAGTGGATATATATTCCAGCAGGATGAGTATTTTAGCCCTCTTTGCAATTGCAGTCTTCATTATCATCAATAAACTGGCCTCTGGTTGATTGGTCTAGTCTAGTTATTTTATCCCAGCACATGGGATATATGATACCATCAAAGCCATGATGTGAACAAACCATGAAGTATAATGGAGTTTGAGTAATTGTGCCTTTTAATTATAGTTTTAGTTTGCTTTCTTGACTTGCATTCATTCAGACTGCACATGAGGGGACAGAGAAGAGTGTGCTTCAATATAAAGCTGGGGCTATTTTACAAACACACCTTCCTAAATGTTCTTAGTCTCTATCCTGGAAAAGTCACCTTCTCAGCATCATGGATCAGAAATACATAAAAGCCTTAGTGCTTGTGGAAAACAGGCTTCTTCGTTGGAGGTCAGTCTCAACTAACTTCACACTCTGATTCCTAAAAAAATGGGAAGGTGGGTGTGTACACATCCTTTATGTTATAAATTTCTTACTGGAAAGATGGCCTAAATATTAGACTTTCCCGAAAGAGTATTCAGTCTCATAAAAATCTCTAATGGAATAGCACTTAAGAATTTCAACTGTGTGACCACTAAAAATGGTGTAGATCCATTACCTCTCACACAGGCACTCTCCATGATAGATTGCGTGATAAAAACCAAGCTGCAGAAGATTATATTACCTGGAGAGACACCAAATTGTTCAGTCGTAACCTCTGGGAAACAGATGGTGGGGGAGGTTTTGAAGGGGACACTCACCTTAATTTGGGGGCATTGTTAAAAAATTTTTTTAACTTACATAGTCTTTTTAAAATAAAGAACTTAAGCCACAAAATCAAAACAGCTGATTGATATGAAGCACCACTATCTCCATTATTGAAAAGTTGCTTCAAGAATGCTGAATAGTTTCAAGTTACATTTTACAAAAAATGAAAGGGCACAGGATGTTGTCTACCTGTTTTAATTATGGAAGGATAATTGTCAATTTTTAAATGGTAAGATAGTTATAAAGAATAATGTTTTCCAAAGCAATACCAAAGAGATACTTTTCCCTTTTAGAAGTTATGATACCATGCAGCTTATTTCCCCATATTGATCATGTGAACATTTGTTTTAAGGAGTAAAAGGGTTTGTCAGACCTGGTGTCCATGGCATGCCAGAGACACAGATTGAACTATCTCTTGGCATTTCCATAAATATACAAAAATTAGCGGGGCATGGTGGCACACACCTGTAGCCCCAGCTACTCGGGAGGCTGAGGCAGAAGAATCACTTGAACTGGGGAGGCAGAGGTTGTGGTGAGCCGAGATTGCACCACTGCACTCCAGCCTGGGCGACAGAGCGAGACTCTGTCTCAAAAAAAAAAAAAAAAAAAAGAATTAATGGGGCCAGGCATGGTGGCTCATGCCTGTAATCCCAGCACTTTGGGAGGCCGGACAGGCGGATCACCTGAAGTCAGGAGTTCGAGACCAGCCTGGCCAACATGGGGAAACCCTATCTTTACTAAAAATACAAAAATTAGTCGGGCGTGGTGGCACATTCCTGGGGTCCCAGCTACTCAGAAGGCTGAGGCAGGAAGATTTCTTGAACCCGGGAGGTGGAAACTACAGTGAGCCGAGATCAAGCCACTGCACTCCAGCCTAGGAGACAGAGTGAGACTCTGTCTCAAAACAAAAAAGAAAAAAAAAGGAAAAAAATTCCCTTGCTAAGTCACTGAAGTCTTAGAAATCTGGGAAACTGGGGACAAAGTTCCTAAGGGTTCTGTGAGAAGGTACAGCCATTTGGGGAACTATTTGTCGAGGACAACTTCATGTCTGGGATAATAGGAAATTCAGAAAACAGTGCAGCAGTCCCTGAGAGACCCAATATCTGAAACAATAAAGGGTGCGGTGTATCACTCAGGAAGTTACGTGGTGAGCAGCCAGGATGGTTGAAGGTCCTGAGTAGCTGAAACCAATAGGGAAGACTTTATGGAGGAGTTCAGATTTGAGACAAGCCAGATTTTAAGCAGGGAAGAAAACATTCCAAGTAAACAATAGCTTCATGATTTAAAAGAAATTTTTAAATTTTATTTATTTTTGAGACAGGGTCTCACTGTGTCACCCAGGCTGGAGTGCAGAGGCATGATCTCAGCTTACTGCAACCTTCGCCTCCCAGGTTCAAGTGATTCTCCTGCCTCAGCCTCCCAAGTAGCTGGGATTATAGGCATGCACCACCATGCCTGGCTAATTTTTTTTTTATTTTTATTTTTGGTAGAGATGGGGTTTCAGTTTTCACCATGTTGGCCAGACTGGTCTCGAACTCCTGATCTCAAATGATCTCCCTGCCTTGGCCTCCCAAAGGGCTGGGATGATAGGCATGAGTCACTATACCTCGCCTACAAGCAAAATTTTAAATAATTAGGAATCAGGAAATGAGTCTTGGGATGATTCTGATGATACCTTGTGTAATAGACTCTTCAAAAGTATAGCAATTTATGGGCCAGGTGCAGTAGCTCATGCCTGTAATCCCAGCATTTTTTGAGGCTGAGGAGGGAGGATCACTTGAGCCCAGGTGTTCAAGGCTGCAGTGAGCTATGACTGTGCCACTGCTCTCCAGCCTGGGTGACAGAGACCCTGCCTCAAAAAAAAAAAAAAAAAGCAATTTATAAAGGCAATGAAATTACAATTCTGAAATTTTCAAATTGAAAGATGCCTTACAGAGCACATAACTTGTACCCACACGCAAATAATGAAACTAGTTAAGATTAGGTAGCTTACATTAAAGTCTCTTAAATTAGAAATTGAGTATTTTTTCTATCAGACTTTGTTCCAGAAAGTATTTCAGTCATCTTTATGAATACATGATATTCAAGATGCATTAGTTGAGCCCTTACCAAAACATCTCATGTACCCCGTAAGTATATATGCCATGTACCCAGAAAAAATGTAAATAAAAAACTTTAAAAGATCCATTAGTTGAAAAAACAAGTAACAGAATTAAACAGCATCATCTCATTTAAGAAAACATTGTATACAAGAACAAACACTAGACTACCAGTGCTCATATACGTAATTAATGAATACTAAAACAAATTAGTTTTTGTTGTTTTTGTTTTTTGTTTTTTGTTTTTTTTGAGACAGGGTCTCACTGTTGCCCAAGCTGAAGTGCAGTAGCATGTTCATGGCTCACTGCAGCCTCGACCTCCCAGGCTCAAGCAATCCTCTCACCTCAGCCTCCTGAGTAGCTAGGACCACAGGCACATGCCACCAGGCCTGGCTAATTTTTTTTTAAATTTTTGTAGATAGGGTCTTGCTATGTTGCACAGGCTGGTCTGGAACTCCTGGGCTCAAGAGATCCTCCACTATGGCCTCCCAAAATGCTGGGATTATAGGCATGAGCCGTCACGCCCAGCCAGATCTCTTGAAATGTTGTAGGGGGCCCCAAAGTTAACCTAATTAATGAAGACAGGAGAATAGGTAAGTCAAGGAATACACACACAAAAAAAAAACAAGGAATGACAAGAAAGCAAATAGATCAGAGAATTGAGAGAGGAAAGATACAGTCTCAGCAGCCATTGGTGGAGACTAAGCATAGCTGCTCAGAACCGAATGCTGCTTTAAGATTAAGGAAAGTGGAGAACTAAGAAAAGATTTAAATTGGACTGTGGCATTAGCATTAACTATTTTAAGCACTTGGCCAGGCGGGGTGGCTCACACCTGTAATCCCAGCACTTTGGGAGGCCAAGGCCAGCGGATCACTTGAGGCCAGGAGTTCAAGACCAGCTTGGCCAATACAGTGAAACCCCGTCTCTACTAAAAATACAAAAAATTAACTGAGCGTGGTGGCACGCGCCTATAGTCCCAGCTGCTTGGGAGGTGGAGGTTGCAGTGAGCCGAGATTGTGCCACTGCACTCCAGCCTGGGCAACAAAGTCAGACTGTCTCAAAAAAAAAAAAAAAAAAAAAAAAACACTTCTTTGAGGTAACTTTGATTACAGCTGAAATACAGGGAATTTTACTAAAGGACAAAAGGACAAATAACTTCCCTCCCATTAGCTTGTTTCAGATTCTGGCACACTGGTAAATAAAAACTAGAATCTTGCAGGCCGACCCTGCACATATGTATGAAAGACAGTCAGAATTCCAGCCAGGCTTTCTCAAAACTAGGGCAGCATTTTTTTAACATGTATCTACTCTCTTCTCCCAGGTTATGTTAAAATATGCCTTGGGTCAAGATGATAGATGCCTGTTTTTTCCTGGAGATTCCTACACGTTCAGTCACTCAATATCAAATTGACGATTAATAAAATGGTTGTCATTTCCTCTTCCTTCTCTGCCATCAGCATATGACCACAGAAAGATGACAAATTTTTAGATAACATGACCAACCCATCTATGATTAAACTGACATGTTTCCTTACTAAAATAAAATACACTTACTTTAGGTCTTCACTGCTTTTATCCCCTCTAATGTGAAAATAGCCTCAAAGTGATCTTCTAAGACACAAAAGAGGACTTAAACATGTCATTCGTCACTTGCTTTATTCAGACATTCGAGTGTACCTCTTTCGCCACAGGGCTAGAGGTGGTCTACTCTGTACATACATTTCACAGTAAAGAAAAATTCTGTCATTCCCCAACTCTATGACCAAGGAAAACTTTTAGGATTTCTTTAATTTGTAGCAGAGACACAGTGGCTTAGCCAATCGGCAGTGCAATAAACAGTATGCCAGTTTCCCACCCCCACCCCTTTTTCCCTCTTTTTTAAAGCTTCAAAGGTTAGATCAGTAAGACTTAAAATTTCCTCATTTAAAGAGAAATATGATGCCCCACATGTTAATTTATATTAAAAACTAAAAATAAATAATGGGGTTCTTAAACAAGGACATCTTTAAATAGGTTATGATTAGACCAGCCTGTGAGTGAAATGAGAGATTATCTCTTCTCCCTGGAAATGTCTTCGAGGCTCAGACAATTCAGTAGTTTTTAAAAGGCCCGAACTCACACATCTCAGGTGAAAAGTATAGGCAATGGGCAACAAACAAGACGCTAATGACTTGGCTTCTGATAAATTGAAACAAACATTTGGTGGCCCAGCCTAATGAATGACAGCATGAAACTAGAGGTTTAACGTAAGTTTTGATATCACATATAGATCCCTCAACCCTAAGTTACTTTGGAGGGAAGCCATGAGAGGCTGGATCAGTCCTCGAGCCTCAGCTAAGGATGGATCCTATTTCTTACCAGTGCAAAACAACAAATGCACCTGTAAGGTGGAGTCGGCAAGGACAGTTCCCCTCTTACTTTGAAGCAAGAGATGGAAAAAGTCAGAAAGATTTCTAGATAAAACGGGGAAACACAAAAGGCAAAGTAAAAATTTAAACAGGCCTCACAACAATCAGCTGGAATTCTTATTAAAAAAAAAAAATACAATTCATGGATGGGCAAAGAAAGGAAACAATGCAGAGGCCTTTGGACTTCAAGGGAAAGCCCATCAGGATTCTCTGAGATTCTCAGCTGAGAGTGAGTTCTCTCTCCATGCAGGATTCTGCATCATGTGTATCCCAAAAGGAGTTCTACGTGGAGGTCATCCATCTTCTTCCCTGCAGCTCTTAACTGAGCTGGGCGCACACACACACACACACACTCTTCTCCACCACGCCTGCAGCTCTTAACTGAGCTGGGCGCGCGCGCGCACACACACACACACACACACACACACACACACACACACTCTCTCTCTCTCTCTCTCTCTCTCTCTCTCTCTCTCTCTCTCCACCACGCCACCAAACTGCAGCTGTAGCTTCTTTTCTGACCCACACTCCCCTGGCTCTCCACTTTTAGGCACAGTCTTTGGTCTTTATCGCCAGGCCCGATTCAGGAGCTTCACCTGTGCTAGTCTCTTAGTGATCATGGTGGCAAAAACCAGGCCAAAGAGGACACTGCTGATTAACACGTAGTCATAGTCATCCTTCAGAACGTCAAACTGCTTAGATGGGTAGACTCGAGTTTGGTAAATGTCCAAACCATAGGCCACAACCTGGAAGGCAGATGGAATAATTAGGGAAGAAACAACCAGTGATCCACCAAGGGTGAAATAGGGCAGCTGTGGGCCCTACTCACCAAACAAGTGGACTCCAGGCCCGAGGGAGCTGTGTAGATACCTCGCATTCGAGAAACTGTCTGGTTATAGTTGATGAATCGCTCTGCGTGTATCTGTACATCTGGAGAATACGGGATTAGGTTCTCCTCTCTGCAAAACACCAGTTGGGACAGGCAGTCTGAGCACTGCTGTAAAGGGATCCCTTGGCTGCCCTTCCTGAGTCCTGGAAGGTTTCCAGGCTACATATCTAGCCTCAAATCTCCTAGGAGGTCTGCTTGCATTAGGTAGTTAAAAATTTAGCAGCTGAATGTTAGGAAGGACTACAAGAAAGGAAGCTCTCTGGAGAGTAAGACTGAGATCTAGATTCCTACTTTGTTCTAAATCTGAAAAGAAAGGACATACAGACGACTGGCATTTCACACCACAAGAGGAAAGCCGACCATTTTAAAACCAACACACTGAACCACTAAGCTAATTCCTGTTCTCCACTCCAGGGTGCCTCTTGGTCCCCATTTCTCTGAAACCTGATTATCATCCTGTGTCTTCCTAGTTTTAACTTCCTGTCTCTCATATACTTCTCTCCATTCCTCATGCCTCTAGGTAAAGAAATTGAGGATGGAGGTAAGAAAACCCGACAGGATGGTGGCTGTTAATACAACAATACCAACAGTGAACAAGTTATTGGCTTGCCCACATGATCTGGCCCCAATTACCTCAGTGATCTCATTTCCTAGCGTTGCCCTCTGCGAACTCACCAGACATAATCTCAGGGGATTTGCATTGCCTGTTCCCTCTGCCTAGAAAGTTCTTCCTCAGGTATCTACACAGCTAGCTCCTTCACCTTCTTCAGGCCTTCACTCAAAACGCACCTTCTCAAAGGGGCTTTCCCAGGTCACCTCTCAAATTATACCCATGAACATCCCCATCCCCACTTCCTAGCTCATTCCTGTTTTACTCTCCTTAGCATTTGAGTACCTAACATAGTGTATATTTTACTTGTTTATCTTATTTATTTATGTATTGCCCATTTCCCAGCAGACTGTAAGCTCCATGACGGCAGGTGACTTTTTCAGACTTGCCCCCTGCTACATCCCCAGCCCCTAGCATAGCATGAAGGCACACGGAGACTGAGAACCAAGCTTAATCAGTGAGGTTAAGTTCTGTAAGGTCAGAGCCTTCAGCACCGCCCATGAGGGTCTCACCTGCTTTGTTCTGTTGGAATCTCGGGGCGGCGGGGATCCAGCAAAGCCTTAGGAAGGGAAAGAATTGCTCCAGAAGGTAGTCCAACTACACAGGAAGAAGTGAACGTTCACACCGATCCAGTGTCCAGCAAAGGCCAGTTACAAAATTGTCATTATTGCAGAAATTTAAACAAGAGTTTAAAACAAGAAAGTGGGTCAATGAGGCTCCCTTACATAGCCAAAAATAATAATCCAATAAAATGCATGGGTCTGAATGAAGGTTCTCACTTTTGAAGACACTAGCTTCTTAACATTCTGAGATACCAGAAAATAAAGTTCTAGAATCAAGATATGGATAATGATGAAAAAGAAAAATGTAGAAGGCGACTTGGATTTCCTCATGCCCCCTCCCTCCAATACCTCCCCCAGCAGGGAGTCTCCTTCCCGTTGAGCAAACGCAGCTGTTTATGTAGCTGCGGTACAGTGGCCAGGGAAGACTGGAGGACCAAGCATGATCGATCATAGCACCAGTTTCAGTAACGGTGATTAAAGCTGATAAACTGCCTACAGGGCTGACTTCTTCATGTTTAAGAATACAATAGGCCAGGTGTGGTGGCTCATGCCTGTAATCCCAGCACTTTGGGCAGCCAAGGCAGGCAGATCACAAGGTCAGGAGATCGAGACCATCCTGGCTAACAAGGTGAAACCCCATCTGTACTAAAAATACAAAACATTAGCAGGGCATAGTGGCACACGCCTGTAGTCCCAGCTACTCAGCAGACTGAGGCAGGAGAATTGCTTGAACCGGGGAGGCGGAAGTTGCAGTGAGCTGAGATCATGCCACTACACTCCAGCCTGGGTGACAGAGTGAGGCTCCGTCTCAAAAAAAAAAAAAAAAAAAAGCAACAGTAATGCCAAGTGCCCATCAGATCTGAGTCCCAAACATCTTTGGTAAACTCAACTAAACACAGGAACCTGTTAACCACTGTGTTCTAAGTCCTGGGCTTAGGTTACATAAGGATGAGATTTTAGAGCTGGCGCGGTGGTTCATACCTGTAATCCCAACACTTTGGGAGGCCGAGGCAGGTGGATCACTTGAGGTCAGGAGTTCAAGACCAGCCTGGCCAACATGGCAAAACCCCATCTCTACTAAAAATACAAAAAGTAGCCAGGCATGGTGGTGGGTGCCTGTAATGCCAGCTACTTGGGAGGCTGAGGCAGGAGGATCACTTGAACCCAGGAGGCGGAGGTTGCAGTAAGCCAAGATCGTGCCACTGCACTCCAGCCTGGGCAACAGACCCTGCCAGTTTCTGTAACCTGTCAGCACAGGCTAGCTACGTTAAGAATGCTATCCGGAACTGACTTTTTGAGCTAGGTGAAAATGCCAAATAGAGAGGTGGTATATCAGAAATGAGGACTAAAGGCCGGGCACAATGGCTCACACCTGTAATCCCAACACTTCAGGAGGCCAAGGCAGGAGAATCATCAGAGCCCAGGAGTTCTAGACCAGCCTCAGCAACATGGCAAAACCCCATCTCTACAAAAAAAAAAATTGTTTTAATTAGCCAGGTGAGCTCAGGAGGCTGAGGCTGCAGTGAGCCATGATCACACCACTGTACTCCAGCCTGGGTGACAGAGTGAGACTCTGTCTCAAAAAAAAAAAAAAAAAAGATGAGGACTGAGAGACAAGTGGTCACCTTCATAGGTGGCAAAGATGAACTAATAAACTTCTTCCACTGATATATAGCCCTCCTCACCACCTTTCCCTTACGGGTGGTTCAACAGGGCTCTGCCAGCAATGTGTCCCTTGCTCTGTCCTTCAGTGTGGTTGCCCAAGGGAACCCAGCCATCCCAGAGGCTCCCCATGCACTCACTCAGCAGGTGTCGGCTGGTGATGCCCCGCTCGGTGATGGTAGCCTCCATGGCACTGATGGAGGATGGGAAGATATAGGACTGCTGGAGGACCTGGGGCAGCTGGGGGCGGTCCAGGGAGCTGAAGGCAGTGGCGTTGTATTGCTCAGTGCCCTCATAGAGCTCCAGTACGGTAAACTCATTGCGCCGAGCCTTGGTGTTCCAGTACTGGTACTGCAGGGATAGGAGGAGGCAGCTCAGGGCTTCCCAGCTGCTTCAATTGGAAAGGGAAATTGCACTGGAAGGCACCTTTCTAATTAGCTACAGATCCACGAAGGAAAACCATCAATTAGCACCTCACTTTTCTTCCTTACTACCAAGTTTACTAACTTTCAAAGTATTTTTATCTAGGCTATCCAAAGTTCACCAGAAAACAAAGGAAATTCTCAAGATTCTTAGAAGCCATAATAGTAACTAACCTTTGAATCACTACTAAGTGCCAGGCATTGTTCTTTGCTAGACTGAAGGTGACTTATTATCCCTATTTTACCAATGATGCAACACAGAGCATATACATAACTAGTTCGAGGTTATACAGTCAGGAAATGGAAGAGGTAGGATCAAACCTAGCAGTCTGATTCCTGAGCCTAGCGCCCTAACCAGCACGCTTTGCTGCCATCCAGGGAATTTGAGATCCTAAGAAAACCAAAGCAGCAACTGGGTTTCTGGAAAGGACTCAGGAAGCAGGGAGACCTCTGGAGCTACCTTGTGTCCCTGGTAGTGACTGCTTACCACCACCCAGTTCTCTGAATGCACGATATGGACAGGGCCCTTGGCTTTCTTCTGCACAGAGGAGTGGATGATACGCCCAGTGACGCCATCAATGAGGAAGATGCCAATAAAGGTGCGCTCATGGTGCGTGTCTGTGCTCTCCGTCACCACGGCCAGCAGGTTGGGGTTCAGGCTCTGGAGAGAGAGAGAGAAAAGCTCCCTTAGAACCACGATGACTCATCACACACTCCATTCCTGTGCTGTGAGACCAACCTGGAGCTCTCCAGCCTGGCAGAGGAATCAGGGTTTCTGGTGGAAAGAGCTTCCTGTTTGGAGTTTCTCATCACTGCACTTGTTTTATGTGCATTGAGTACTGGGTGCCATGCCAGGTACCTTGTATTTTATCTAATCCTGTAAACAATCTTGCAGAGTAGCTATTATGGTCCACATTTTGCAGAAAAGTCTCAAAGTAGTTAAGCAGCTTCTCAAGTCTCAGAGAGCATATAGTAACCCTAGATGAAATCCAGGTCTGCCCACTCACTGACCTAGGGACAAATGCTGCAGTGATACTTTTCTTCTCAGGGTCACCACCACCCTCCCCATCGCTAAATCCAGTGGCTAAGTCTTGGCCCTCATCTTACCTGACCCACTAGTACCACGTGACGCAGGTGATCACTACCTCCCTGTGACATTTTCTCACCTGGATTCCAGAACATCCCTGCCCAGCACTCCTTCTACCTTACTGGCCTCTCCTTCTCAGACTCTTTTGGAGGTTCTTCCACATCTCCCCAGTTTCTTCATGGTAGAACACACCAGGAAGCTCTCAAGCCTTAAGCATTTCCATCACGCTCACCCTCATGGTGGTCTATCTCAAGCCAATCTCATGGCTTGAACACCATTTATGGATGTTGGCAATGCCCAATGTATGTATCCAAACCAGACACTCCTTTGAACTCCAGACTTCACTAAGAAACTATCTCAGTATCTCTTCTCAGATGTCTCATCTGAAACTTAACATGGCCCAAACTGAACTGTTCTAACCCCTGCCTAAAATCTGCTCCTGTCTCCTCCCCAGCCAGTGGCGACTCCATACATCAGTGACTCAGACCTAAAGCCTCGAGTCATCCTTGACTCCTTTCTCTGTAACACACATATACCCGCTCTTGGCTCTACCTTCAAAAGTACCCAGAACCTGATCCCTTCTTCCCACCTCCGTGCTACCAGCCCAGCTCCAGCCACCATCAGCACCTGGATGATCCCACAGCCTAAATGGTCTGCTTTCCTCCTCACCCCTCTACAGTCTCATCTAGGTCAAATGAACCTGTGGAATCTCAAGTCACTGATGTCACTCCTCTGCTGAAAACTTCCCAGTGGCTCTTCACCATGCTCCAAAGTGAAGGCACGGTGGTGGCCTGTGATCTGGCCCTGTTGCCCTCTGCCTTCAGCAGGCCTGACATGCCTCCTCACTCATCATCTTCTAGTCACCTAGTCTTCCTTGCTGTTTCTCACACACACCAGGAGTGCTCTGACTTTTCTCTCTGGAAGGCTCTCCCCCCAGCTATCCACACGACTCACTTCCTCACTCAAGTCTACTCACTCCATGCCACTTTCTCACTAAGCCCCTCCTTAGTCACCCAATTTACACTGTACTCGCTTTCCCTCTTCCCGGCTTTATTTTTCTCTATAGAACTGGTCACTTTCTAATACACTATCTAATTTACCTATTTATTTTCTTTATTATTAGCCTCACCCAACTATGATGAAAGCCTCACAAGGTCAGGAAGTTTTGTCTATTTTGCCCATTTTATATCCCAGTGTGTAAATGAGTGCCTGTATCCAACTAGCACTCAAAAAATACACACTCGGCTGTTGGCCGAGTATGGTGGCTCACACCTGTAATCCCAACACTTTGGGAGGCCAGGATGGGAGGATTACTTGAGCCCAGGAGTTCAAGACCAATCTAGACAACACAGCAAGACCTCATCTCTAAAGAAAATAAAATAACTGCCCGGGCACAGTGGCTCACGCCTGTAATCCCAGCACTTCAGGAGGCTGAGGCGGGCAGATCATGAGGTCAAGAGATCAAGAACATCCTGGCCAACATGGTGAAACCCCATCTCTAAAAATACAAAATTTAGCTGGGCATGGTGGCACGCGCTTGTAGTCCTGGCTACTCGGGAGGCTGAGGCAGGAGAATCGCTTGAACCTGGGACGTGGAGGCTGCAGTGAGCCGAGATCATGCTACTGCACTCCAGCCTGGCGACAGAGTGAGACTCCATCTCAAAAAAAAAAAAAAAGAAAAGAAAGAAAATAAAATAAGCCATGGTGACATGCACCTGTTGTCCCAGCTGCTTAGGAGGCTGAGATGGGAGAACTGCTTCAGCCCGGGAGGTCAAAGCTTCAATAAACTGTGATCACACCACTGCACCCCATTATACTGGGGAAAATGGAAGCTCAGACAGCCTAAGAGATGAACAGCTAGGCCATGGCAGAGCCACATCTTAACTTGACAGTCAAACTAGAGACTTACACTGTGTTGCACTAGATCATGCTTAGTGATCCGGCTTTACCATCAAGTTCCGTGATCTCACTACTCTATTCTATGACACCCCCTCCAACTCAGTCTCTACTCAGTCTCTGCTGTACCAGAGCGTGTAATTAATGTGCATTACTACTGTGATTACATTCTCTCCCACAACAGTTTTGCAGCCCACTAGTCACCTCAATCTCCCTCTCTTTAACACTAACTAGAGTGTTGGATCACAGAGATGGAGTTTCTGATGGCTTGACTATGGTTTAACCCCAGAATGCTCTGTCAGTACTACCACTAGTAATAAGAGCTGGGCTAGGCACAGTGGCTCAAGTCTCTAATCCCAACACTTTGGGAGGCTGAGGTAAAAGAACTGCTTAAGGCCAGGAGATAGAGACCAGCCTAGGCAACATAGTGAGACCCTGTCAATACAAAAATAAGAAATTTTAAAAAAGCTTTTTTTTTGTTTTTGAAGACAGGGTTTCACTATGTTCCCTAGGTTGATCTCTATCTTCTACAGAAAATAAAAAGTTAAAAAAAAAATTTTTTTTTGTTTGTTTGGAGACAGGGTCTCACTCTGTCATCCAGACTGGAGTGCAGTGGCACAACTGCAGCTCACTGTAGCCTCGACCTCCCCAGGTTCAGGTGATCCTCCTACCTCAGCCTCCCAAGTAGCTGAGACTACAGGCATGCACCACCATGCCCAGCTAATTGTATTTTTTTTACTTTTCTTGCAGGGGTAAAGACAAGGTTTCAGCCACGTTGCCCAAGCTGGTCTCAAACTCTTGGACTCAAGTAATCCACCTGCCTCGACCTCTCAAAATGCTGGGATTACTGGCATGAGCCACCAAGCCCAGCCTTTTTTAAAAAATTAACATGGCATGTGCCTATGGTCCCAACTACTTGGGAGACCGAGGTGAAAGGATCGTGTAAGCCCAGGAGGACGACGGAGCTGCAGTGAGCCATGGCTGCATCACTGCACTCCAGCCTGGGCACCAAGCAAGACTCTGTCTCAGGAAACAAAACAAAAAGGTCCAAAAAATAAGAGCTAACATCTGTTGCTTACTTACCATATGCTAGGCACTGGGCTAGGCATGAATATCTCATGTGATCATCACAACAAGCCTAGGAAGAGGGTATATTATCCCCACTTCACAAACAAAAATTAAGGCTCAAAGGGATTAAATGACTACTCAAAGTCATATATCTACCAAGTCCTACAGCCAGACTTGAAGCCCTTGTTTTCCTGATTCAAAAGCCCTTGCTGTATACCAGACAGCTGGCTGTACGTACCTTGTAGAGCACACTGCGGTCCCCCATCACACGGCCCTGGGAATGAACGTGCTCACTGCTGCGTTTCCCCTTCACCTTGACGATCCGCTGTACTTCCGGGGGAATGGTCAGCTCCCAACTCAGCTCAGTGGTGAGATCCTAGGGCGGGGACAAAAAAGCCTGTAATCAGGAGGGTACACAAAGAACTGAAACAGCTAGAGTTAGACCCATCCTACAGTTCATTATTTGAGGCCTTTGTGCAGGAAGGAACAGAGATCAGAACTAGAAAAACAAGCCAGGAGCAGTGGCTCATACTTTTAATCCCCACACTTAGGAGGCCAAGGTGGGCGGATCACTTGAGGTCAGGAGTTCAAGACCAGCCTGGCCAAGAAAGCCAAACCCCATCTCTGCTAAACTTATAAAAAATTAGCCGGATGTGGTGGTGGGCACCTATAATCCTGGCCACTCAGGAGGCTGAGGCAGAGGCTGCAGTGAGCTGAGATCACGCCACTGCACTCCAGCCTGGGTGACAGAGCAAGACTCAAAAATAAAACAAACTAGAAAAATGGCAATAGAGATCTAGTTTATGAAGAAATTTCAGAACTCTCAGTTTGATTAAGATAGATACTAGACCAGGTACAGTGGGTCACACCTGTAATCCCAGCACTTTGGGAGGCCAAGGTGGGTGGATCACCTGAGGTCGGGAGTTTGAGACCAGCCTGACCAACGTGGAGAAACCCCATCTCCACTAAAAATAAAAAATTAGCCAGGCATGGTGGCGCATGCCTGTAATCCCAGCTACTCAGGAGGCTGAGGCAGGAGAATTGCTTGAACCTAGCAGGCGGAGGTTGCAGTGAGCCAAGACTACGGCCATTGCACTCCAGCCTGGGCAACTCCGGCTCAAAAAAAAAAAAAAAGATAGATAATAAAGCCAGTAGGAAAGGAGGCGAATGCTCAGTAGTATCCCGTTGTTTATCTGAGTAGGAAATATGCAAGGAAAATTTACCATTTATTACTAAACTCCAAGATGCCCATATACTAGGGCCAGCAGTGAATGTCTAAGCTAACAGGGACCTCAAAACAGCTCGTGTATGATTCTTTATGGTCATAGGAAACCAACCAATAAACACTCGTGGTTAAATATATTATTACACATCCATCCTATGGAATTATGCGGAGCACTTGGGCGTGGAGACAGGAAGTAGTTACTGGCAAAGGGCAAAAGGGCCTTCTAGGAGCTGGTGTTGTTCTGTTTCCTGATGTGATTACCAGGCACACAAGTGTATTCCCTTGGTGAGGGTTCACTGAGCCATACCTCATGATTTTGCACTTTTGTCAATATTTTTCTGTAATAAAAAACTGAAGTTGACAAAACAATGAGGTAGAAAACCCATTAAATGAAAAAAGCAAATTCATAAGAATAAATATAGGTCAATTCCATGTGAATAAGAAAAAAAAAAAAACAACAGGCCGGGTGCAGTGGCTCACACCTGTAATCCCAGCACTTTCGGAGGCCAAGGCGGGAGGATCACTTGAGGCCAGGAGTTTGAGACCAGCCTGGCCAACATGGTGAAACCCCATCTCTACTGAAAATATAAAAATTAGCCGGGCGTGGTGGCGTGCACCTGTAGTCTTGGGAAGCTGAAGCAGGAGAATCGCTTGAACCCAGGAGGCAGAGGTTGCAGTGAGCTGAGATCACGCCCCTGCACTGTAGTCTGGGTGACAGAGCGAGACTCTGTCTCAAAAACAAACAAAAAAAAAGTATGAGCCACACATGTGTGTCCACACAGCTGTTGATATGGAATCATAAATACACAAGGACAGTGGAAAGAGGCACAACAAACTGCTGACAGGCTTTCCACCTGGGGAAGGGAAGACTGCTGGAAATGGGGCTACAAGAGTCTGTTCACATTTTGCTTGTTCACCTCTCTGTATCAATGGACTCTTTTACAATGAGAATATACTCATGTATTACCTAAATTTTTAAAATAATAAAAGTTATTAGCCGGGCGCGGTGGCTCAAGCCTGTAATCCCAGCACTTTGGGAGGCCGAGACGGGCGGATCACGAGGTCAGGAGATCGAGACCATCCTGGCTAACCCGGTGAAACCCCGTCTCTACTAAAAAAATACAAAAAACTAGCCGGGCGAGGTGGCGGGCGCCTGTAGTCCCAGCTACTCGGGAGGCTGAGGCAGGAGAATGGCGTGAACCCGGGAGGCGGAGCTTGCAGTGAGCAGAGATCCGGCCACTGCACTCCAGCCTGGGCGACAGAGCGAGACTCCGTCTCAAAAAAAAAAGAAGAAAAAAAAAAAAAAGTTATTAATAATAAGACTTCACTGCCACAACCTTCTTTGAAAACATGAGAACTCACTAAAACATCCCCAGAGAGGAAGGTCACCAAGTGAGGGCAAAGGCAGTACACTCCCTTGTGGTCCAGGACTCACGCGCACACCTGGCTCACTTCCCACAGACAGCTCTGCCCCCTTTGTCTTCCTTTGTCATTGTTCACTCAGATGATGTCAAGACTGGATTCATGACACCCACACTCCAGTTCACTCCCCTGAATCTACAAAACTGTCTCTTTCAAGGTCCTCATTTTATTAACTCAGAAGGACGATTTTTTTTTTCATTCACAAGGGTAAAGGATGTGACTTCTGGGCAGACCATTTCCAGTGCCGTTTATGCTAAGGTTAGCTGTTACAAATGTCACAAAAGGGCACTGCATTTTCAAAACAACAGCGTCTCCAACTCAGATGGCATTTACCATGTGCCAGGCAGTTTTATGTGATTTATATGTTGAATTCTCACAACAACCTTTTGAGACAGGTATTTATCACCTTATTTTACAGCTAAGAAAACAGAAGGCCAGAGTCCAAGGTCACAGAGTTAGTAAGTGACAAACCTAGGCTTCAAATCCAGCAAATTGGGTCTAAGCTCTTAAATTCTACGCCTCTCAAAAGGCCTTACAGGACAGGATGGGAGAGCTGTTTGTGAGTGTACACCATAGAGTGCTTCTCCAAACAGTCCTGCTAACAAGGCCATGCCAGTCCCTCATGAACTTCAGAGCTGGACTTCAGAGCCAGCTTGTATCACTGTTTACAAGAGTTGGTCTCAAGTATGTGAGGATTAAAGCAAACTGACCCCCTTTCTAGAAATAAAATTCAAAGCACGCATTCTATCATGAGTTGGTCAACATCATCTTCATATAAAAGTACAACTTATTATTCAACCCACATTCCTACCTTCTACTCTCCCAAGAATGGGAAAAAAGTCCCATCTCTCTGCTATAGAAAAAGAATGTAGCCGGGTGCAGTGGCTCACGCCTGTAATCCCAGCACTTTGGGAGGCCGAGGCAGGTGGATCACAAGGTCAGGAGTTTGAGACCATCCTGGCCAACACAGTGAAGCCCTGTCTCTACTAAAAATAGAAAAAATTAGCCGGGCGTGGTGGCACATGCCTGTAATCCCACCTACTTGGGTGGCTGAGGCAGGAAAATCGCTTGAACCCAGGAGGTGGAGGTTGCAGTGAGCCGAGATCACGACACTGCACTCCAACCCAGGCGACAGTGCGAGACTCCGTCTCAAAAAAAAAGAAAAAGAATGTGGAATGAAAGCTCCGTATGGGCAGAGATTTGGTCTACTGTGCACCACTCTGTCCACAGCACCTGGAACCATACCTGCCATGTAGTAGCTGCCCAACAAACATGAACAAATGACTGACTTTGTATCAGACACCAGGATTACGCTCATCTAAGTTTATAGTAGAATGAGTAGCATAATTCACTTCTTAGCCAAATGGCCAGGAAACACCTGCATCTCATCCACAAACGGTCATGCCAGGACACGCCTTCCCACCTTTCGAAGCCGATATCCACATAGCCGTCCCTGCTCCGCATCCACCAAATAGAAGAAAATGGAAGGGGCAAGCTCATGTAGCTGTCGCAAGACATTCCGAGTGGCTGGAAAAGCTGTGACCTTGAAAAACCCAGAGAGCCCAAGGAAAGAGTTAGGAAACTTCCCCATCAAAGAGAGCCTTAAGAATAAAACAGCAAATCTTAAAAGAATTCAAGTCTAGTGAACTCAGTTTAGGGTTTACATTCAGTTCTGTTAAGAACCTGAGTTTTCACAAATGCAGACACAGCCATCATTTCTCTTCAGGATGGCCTTAGAGCCCAAACACGTGCTGGGTGCAGAGAGCACTCCATCTCTGGGCTGCTGTGTTTGACCACTTGGCCCCAAACCCGACTCCACTAGCATGTTCTCCATCCCCTCTGAACACAGTACCTTGTATTCATCATCTATCAACAGCAACACCTTGGCGTAGTCTTGATCCATGACTGGGAGAAGCAAGGACTGCAAGATGGGGCGCTTCAGCACTGGGGGAGCCACCTGACTCCACTTCCCAAAAATGGGATTGAAGACATACAGGGAACTCATTCCCGACTCCTAAAATGAGCAAACCGTCAGGCTCCACCAACAAGAAAAGACTGCAAATCCTAGGGACAGACCTGAAGAGCTGGGACTCCAGCTCAGCAACTGTGGGGGTTCCCTAGTCTTTGCCCTCTTTGTGGAAAATAAGTTCTTGGCTGTAGGTGAATAGTCCCCTAGGCTAACGTCACAAAGGAAAAAGTCAAACTGTCTCTGCCAGTTCTTTTTTGTTTGAGACAGGGTCTCACTCTGTCAGCCATGCTGGAAGTGCAGTGGCATGACCAAGGCTCACTGCAACCTCTACCTCCTAGGTTCAAGCGATCCTCCCACCTCAGCCTCCCAAGTAGCTGGGACTACAGGCACAAACCACCACATGTGGCTAATTCTGTTTTTATTTTTTGTAGAGATGGGGTTTCACCATGTTGCCCAGGCTGGTCTCGAACTCCTGGACTCAAGCAATCCGCCCTCCTTGGCCTCCCAAAGTGCTGAGATTATAGGTGTGAGCCACTGCCTGGCTGCTCTGCCAGTTCTAACCAAGAACCAATAAAAAAACCAAGTAACAATTCAGCAACCTGGCCAGGTGTCGTGGTTCACACCTGTAATCCCAGCACTTTGGGAGACTGAGGCGGGTGGATCACCTGAGGTCAGGAGTTTGAGACCAGCCTGGCCAACATGGTGAGACCCCGTCTCTACTAAACATACAAAAATCAGCCAGGCATGATGGCATGCGCCTGTAATCCCAGCTACTTGGGAGGCTGAGGCACAAGAATTGCTTGAAACTGGGAAGTGGAGGCTGCAGTGAGCCAAAATCGCACCAGGCAGCCATTCCAAGAAAGTGTCTACCAAGCCCACCTTCTGTGCTAGAATGAATACACAAAAATCCATTCTAATTCTGGGAAGACACAAAAATATCTTTGTGTCCTGCTCTTCCTCAAAGAGAGAAGAGAAAATAGCCGCTCAGCTACTAACAGCCAATGTTTAGAAAAGAGGAGAGCTGGTTCCCTATGTAGCTGGTGAAGTCACACCCACTTTCTAAACAATTCCACATCAGTGCTGGCTGGTTCCTCCACCCAGGCATGAAACTAGAAGAAACAAGAGTTCTAACCCCTGAATGTGCCTCATTAACTCACATAATTCCAAGGGCCTAGGAGCAATTTAAGTTACAAAATAGCAAAAAAAGCCACTCTGAGTCTGGCTCAAGTTAGAGCTGGATGCCTCACCTTGTCCTTCACCAGCAGGGTGCACTGTGGGGGGTGGGGGAAATGAGCAGTAGTTCTCTGAACCATCAGTTTAAAGGAGGAGTCTGGCTTGACATTGGGTAGATACTGTTTCCACAGGATGGTGCCAGAGCTGCTCTCAATGCCAAAAAGCTGCAAGATAAACAAATACTTGGCTCACTACTAGAAAGAGAAACCAAAGAACTGAGTCTGTCCTTGAAAACTAGAACCAGTGTCATCCCCCACCAAAGGCTTTTTGTTCCTCACCCTCAGAACTTGAAAAGGTTCAGTAACTGGAGTCGAAACCACACGCACCTTGCCTGAGGCTGTTGCCATCACCACCATCTTCTGGAGGTTGAATTCATCTCTGGCCAGGGTGTCAATGTTGATCTCATTCTTAATCTGACTTCGGGGCTTCCGAGCATCGTAAAACATTTTCCAGAGGTGGGAAGTCCATGCTTGCAGCAGGATAAGCTGAGACGAGAGGCGTTTCAGGAACATCCCCAGCAAGCCATCTGGTGTAAAGGAAAAGTAACACACTCTACATCAGACTAGGGGTCCAGAAGAAGGTACATGCTTTTCCTAATGAGGGATCTCTGCCTCTCCTATGGAGTGGTAAAGTCCACACTCTAGGCCACAAGCCCAAAGGGCAGTCCTATATCTGATGCCAATAGTCTCACACCCAGGTAAGGCTCATGCAGGAGCTTCCAAAAACTACTTAACTGGCTCTTACAACTAAACCCAGCTGGAATCTTGGAATAGACTAGGAGATCAGGGATCAGGCATGCAGGAGGCAGCCATGCTGTGAATGTCTCCACCACAGCCCCACATCCAAGATGCCAGAGGAAGGTTTCTGGGTGCCATGACAAAGCCAGAAGAGGTATGAGTGTGGGGGTGGAGGGTGCAGCTCAATGAATGTGTATCATGAGCAGGTACTTCCATCTCCCACTGCTTCATTCCTACTTTGTCAACTGTTTAACCTGCACCCAACAGACATACTTGCAACGAGTTCCCAGGACCATCATTCACTCTTTTCCTGATTCCGTCAGTGAGGCCACTGCCCTCCAGATCTCCTCATTGGAGACCACAGATTTGGAAACAGATGCAAGGAAGCAAGGTAAAGAGCATGGTCTCTGGAATCTGCCAGGCCCAAATTAAGATCCCAGCTTCACCACTCACTATGGGGCCACCTTGAGAAAGGTACTTCACCTTTTTGCTTCCGGTTCCTCATCTGTAAAGTGGCATGTAACCCACTGGATTGTTGGAAAATTACATCATACGATGTACATCAAGGATTTAGCGTGGTGCCTGGTACATGGTAAACACTTACTAAAAAAGGAGCAGAACCTCTGTTTATCTTATTTTCCACCCACCTCTGCTCAAGGAAGAGAAATGAGAAGCAACAGGACAAGTCACAAGCATGGCAGTCAACACACACACACACACACACACACACACACACCCCGCAAGGATGTACCTCATTGGTCCAAGCTAGGAAGAAAAACAATTAACCAAAAGCTAGCCGTGTGAGCAGGCAATGAGCAACAAGGCAGCAAGAAGCAGGTTTTACCTTGAATCGCTGGATCCAGGCAGCAGAAATAAACAGTAAAGTCAAATTAATCCTCAGCTTAAGAAAATGTGCATTGCCTAGCAGAGTGCCTGGTCCACAGCAGGCCCTCAATAGCTATCTGTTGGAGAGCTGGATGAATGGACAGAAGAGAGAGGGCGGGGGGCAGGACTGAATCAGAGCAGAGTGAATCAAGTTCAACCTGGCAGTTAGGACCATGGCCAGCTTTAGAGGGCACTGGGCTATTTCCGCAATACCCAGATCAACCCAATCGTGTCTCCAGACAGATGTGGCTGCTGCTTTAGGGACAATGAGTATACAATGCCTGGTAAATTTTTAGTACACAGGCAATGGTAGCTATTACTATACCAAGTTAAGACTTTATTCCCCGCCGGGCACAGTGGCTCACGCCTGTAATCCCAACACTTTGGGAGGCCAAGGCGGGCAGATCATGAGGTCAGGAGTTCAAGACCAGCCTGACCAACATGGTGAAACCCTGTCTCTACTAAAAATACAAAAATTAACCGGGCGTGGTGGCGCACGCCTGTAAACCCAGCTACTCAGGAGGCTGAGGCAGGAGAACTGCTTAAACCCGGGAGACGGAGATGGCAGTGAGCCAAGACTGCGCCACTGCACTCCAGCCTGGGTGACAGAGCAAGACTCTGTCTCAAAAAAAGAAAAAAAAGAAAAAAAAAAAAGACTTTTTTCCCTCAGCTTTTCCTAGAGGGATTTTTCCCTAGCTTTCCCCAGAAGGATTCACAGTTCATTCTTTCACAGAAAAGAATGGCTTCATAAACCATATGGCCACAGATGCACTTGAACCTTGTCACAGAGCTCGTTCAGAAAAGACTAGCAATCTGCCAAGCCCAGGAAGCCGGAGATGCAGGACACGGTGTCTCTTGTGGTCATTTCCAGACTGACCCCTCCAGCAACTCTGCAGCTCCAACCTTTTAGGTTCATACCTGCCTTTTTGCCAAATTCTCCTTCCAGCTCGGCCTGTGCCCCAGTCAGGGGGAGGTCCACCATCTCTAGGCACACCACTTCTGCCAGGGACTCCTCACGGCTCCACAGCACCACCTTCCCTGCTACAGGAAACATTTTTACAAAGCTAAGCCTGGAGCTGGGCACAGTGGCTCATGCCTGTAATCCCAGCACTCTGGGAGGCCAAGGTGGGCAAATCTCTTGAGCCCAGGAATTTGAGATTAGCCTGGACAACAGGGCAAAACCTTATCTCAACAAAAAATAAATATCAGGGCCAGACGAGGTGGCTCACGCCTATAATCCCAGCACTTTGGGAGGCCGAGGGAGGCAGATCACAAGGTCAGGAGATCGAGACCATCCTGGCTAACATGGTGAAACTCCATCTCTACTAAAAATATAAAAAATTAGCTGGGCGTGGTGGTGGGCACCTGTAGTCCCACCTACTCGGGAGGCTGAGGCAGGAGAATGGCGTGAACCCAGGAAGTGGAGCTTGCAGTGAGCTGAGATCGCGCCATTGCACTCCAGCCTGGGCAACAGAGCGAGACTCCATCTCAAAAAATAAATAAATAAATAAATAAATAAATAAATAAATAAATAAATAAAAATAAATATCAAAAAATTAGCCAGGCATGGTGGCAAGCGCCTGTAGTCACAGCTACTTGGGAGGCTGAGGTGGGAAGATCACTTGATCTCGGGAGATTGAGGCTGCAGTGAGGCCATGATCGCGCCACTGCACTCTAGACTAGGCAACAGTGAGACCCTGTCTCAAAAAAAAAAAAAAAGCTAAGGCTGCCTCCCAGATTTGCTAAAGAGACTCTTCTCGCTGACTCAGGGATTACTACAAGCTCTTGCATAAAAGGAGAAATGGCAGAGCAAGGGGCTGGAATCAATAGGTCAAGGGAGGAAAGTTATGTATCCCACCAAGAAGGCCAAGTTATTCTTCAAAAGCAGGTGACAAGGGTCGGGCGTGGTGGCTCACACCTGTAATCCCAGCACTTTGGGAGGCCAAGGCAGGCAGATCACCTGAGGTTAGGAGCTTGAGATCAGCCTGGACCAACATGGTGAAACCCTGTCTCTTACTAAAAATACAAAATTAGCCAGGTGTGGTGGCACGCGCCTGTAATCCCAGTTACTCGGGAGACTGAGGCAGAAGAATCACTTGAACCAGGATGCAGAAGTTGCACAGAGCTGAGATTACACCATTCCACTCCAGTCTGGGCAACAAGAGCAAAACTGTCTCAAAAAAGAAAAAAAGAGCCGGGCATGGTGGCTCATGCCTATAATCCCAGCACTTCGGGAGGCCGAGGCAGGTGGATCACCTGAGGTCAGGAGTTTGAGACCAGCCTGACAAACATGGTGAAACCCTGTCTCTACTAGAAATACAAAAATTAGCCGGGCGTGGTGGCAGGTGCTGTAATCCCAGCTAGTTGGGAGGCTCAGGCAAGAGAATCACTTAAACCTGGAAGCCAGAGGTTGCAGTGAGCTGAGATCATGCCACTGTACTTAAGCCTGAGCCACAAGAGCAAAACTCTGCCTCAAAAAAAGAAAAAAAAAAAAAAAGCAGGTGACAGGCCAGGCACGGTGGCTCACACCTGTAATCCCAGCACTTTGGGAGGCTGAGGTAGGCGGATCACTTGAGGTCAGGAATTCGAGACCAGCCTGGCCAACATGGCGAAACCCTGTCTCTACTGAAAATACAAAAATTAGCTGGTCGTGGTGGCACATGCCTGTAATCCCAGCTACTCGTGAGGCTGAGGCAGGAGAACTGCTTGAATCCGAAAGGTGGAGATTGCAGTGGGCCAAGATCATGCCACTGCACTCCAGCCTGGGCAAGAGAACAAAACTCTATCTCAAATTTTAAAAATTTAAAAAATTTTAAAAAAAAAAGCAGGTGACATTTGGCTGTGAACAAAACGCTCGGGACACACTCCACTTGAATCTCTTCCAGAAACCCACAGCCTCCCAAAAAACAGTCTGACTGGAACACGTCGGAAGGCGTGGGGAAATAAAATGGGTTGAATGAGGTCTACTTACCCAACTGCTGCAGGAAAAGTAGCAGATGATCCTCCGTCTGCACCAAAGCCCGGTAGCCCACTGAGTCATCCTTTTTCAAGAACACCTGGATATACAGCTATAAGCCACACAGTCAAGACCAGTGTAGTCAGTGAGGATCCAAATGCCTCTGAGAGCACCAGACACCAGGAGTCAAAGCATTAGGACTTAACAGAGGCCCAAGCCATGGCATTATTTGATATCTAAACAATGTAGCTATTATCTGGATGCCAGTAAGTGATACATATGCTTAGGCGCCAACACAATGATGCTGGGGTCTCCCAGATCTTTCTGTGAAGGAACATGAGTACTGCACGGGTACCACGCCATTCATCCATGTTCTAATCACACCCCACAAAGTGAGCAGGAGGCCGGGATTAGACTTTCTGCTTTAGAAACAAAGAAGCCACAGCCCAAGCAGCTGAGGAAAATAACCAAATGTACACAGAGGCAATACTGGGTAGTGATGAGTCCAGGCTGTGGGAGGTTAGACCTGAATCTGAACCCCAGCAACACCTCTTAACTGGCTTCATGACTCTGGCTATGGTACTCGATCCCAGCAGGCCACAGAATCATTTTAAAACCAGGTCAGAAACAATCGCTTCACAGGAGTGTTCGGAGGATTAAATTAATTAATGTGTAAGTTAAAAGCTTAGAACAGTGCCTGGTACACGATGACGAGCTGGCATAAATAATACCTGCCTTTACTGTGATTTCCAACAAGTCAGTGGCTCAGAGAGCATTAGAACACATGTTCGGAGAGCCTAATCCAAGCCCCATGGCTAAGACCTGGCCCTGAGGAAAGGAAGGCACGTGCTGAGAAGCCCACAGGACAGTCTGCAGAGAAAGGCTCTGCCTCACCCGCTCAGGCCGAGTGCCGCTCTGTTCCAGGCTAAATGTAATTGTGGTGTCCAGCAGCCGCCGACCTGTCTCCACGAGATACAGGTTAATGGTGTAGGTCTGATTGAAGCAAGCCAGAGAGTCCTAGGGGTACAGACAGCACAGGTCAACTAGAGGTATCCCCCGAAAGCAAAGCCCACCAAAGGAAGTCCAAGGATTGGGGGCAAATACCCTAGAGAAGGAGCCAGGCCAGAAAGGGAAATATATGCAAAGGAAAATAAAAGAGAAAAGCAAGCCAAATCCTAAGGCAGAAATAAGGTGCCTGAGTAAATAAATGAAATTACAACTACCATACTTGTCTTGGAAGCCAGTACAGAGTAGCAGACTTCTGAAAGAGAGGTAGGGCTGAACAAAGTAAGACTGAGCAAGACAGGAGGCAGGGAAACGCTTAGATGGAAGCCACAGCAGGAACCTATGCCTCCAGCCAAGGGCTGATGCTTCCGCTTCAGGGTAACTGCACAGATTACTACTCAACTGTGCCAGCCGGGATCCCCAGAAAAATGGGGACGCTGAGGCCCAGAGGAGAAAGTGGCTAGGAACAGACTCTAGGCATTCTACCTCCTAATCTCCCAGTAAAATGAGATTAAGAGAAACATCATTTAATTTACAGTACTTAGGAAACCCCATTTGAAGCTGGGAACTCTAAGGCCTGCTCCTAACCAAAGCTGTGCCCCCAACTCTCTTTGGTGGCGTCCTGCGTCTCTTGGTCTGGCATACTGCCCAATGCCACACCCTACCTTTGAACTAGACTTCTCCGGAAAGCTCCCCATTGACCCATCTTCAGAATTGCTCGGTTTCTGCTATGAGAAAGAGAAGGACAGGAGAAAATTCAGCCAAAGGGTCACTTCCCAGTCACTGAAATGAAGCTTTTGTTTTTGTCTACTTAGCACTTGGGAGAAGGCAAAGCCCATTTCTCACCCCTGCCCACAAAGCCTATTCAACCCTTAATAGCCCCATATGAAAGTAAGGTCGTCACATTAGGGTCTTGTTCCTGGGGAGAAATGGGGTGTACAGAAAGCTCTATAGGTGAGGCAAGACCTCACTTCTCAACAGCCTCCTGCCCCCTGGGTTCAAACTGACCAGGCCAATGTGCCCAGACTTCTGATTTTCAGGGTTCCTGGCAGAGACCAGGAAGGAAAACCCCAAGTGCTGACTGTTGTTCTCAATACTCACCACTTCATTCCGACAGGCCATGACTGCAGCCACCGTCTTCTCCCCAGTGGTGGCAAAGCTCACTAGGGCAGTCTGGGGGAAAAGCAAGGCATCAGCTCCTAAGTGGGACCAGTACTAGCCAGCTGCCTTACAGAGGGTCACCTCTCCAGGGAAGGCCCTTGGCCTTAGAGTTGAAAGTGCTCCCCACTTTGGAGCAGAATGGTCAGGCATTTAAGAGCAGAGCGAGGCCCCAGTTGCATCTACAGCTGAAAACAGAACTCTCCCCTACCTCCAACGAAGGCACACGTCAATCTTAAGTCCCATGCTGCTTGCTCTTACTATCGACGGGGAAGCTCTCATTTATGTCCCCATATTTCCTTTGGACTAAGGAAGGCACTGGTTTTGCTCTAAAGATCCTTTGTAATACTCAGGAGGAAATATACCATTTCTACTGCAAGGCTACCTACCCCCTCTCAAACCATTTAAGGGAAGGTGTCATCAGTCTTGGGCCTAAGAGCAAATGTTTCCAGATTCAAAAGCACTGCCTTGTAACATCCATGTCTTGGAGAGATGTCCTGAATCCTAGCAAACCTTGTTGCCTGCAGTTACCTGTGGGAAGTTTTTAAGCAAACTCAGGGTGCCGTAATGGTACTGCAGCAGAGCATAGTGGCTTGGGGACAAGTGCAGGAAGAACTGGGCCCGGGAAGCGTCCACTGGGTTGGGCTGGGTGGGCAGGACCCGGGGTTGGAATCCACTTCCAAATTCTAAGTCGAGAGACTGGAAGGCAAGAAGGAGGAGGATTACAGCTGACAGCTGACGAGTCCCTGACCCATCCGAGGCTCACACCCTCCGCCCTACTTTACCAGGGGAAGTAACTGGGTCACGGCAGGTGGCTCCAAATGCTCCAGTTCAAACTCCCCAAAGGAGAAAGTGGCCGATTTCCCCTTATGCCAGTTCAGCCAGAGGCCTGAATGGCTTCCACTGCTCAGGAAGAGTCTGGGAGAAAGACCCTCTGGGGGAATCAGGCCAAACTTTCTAGTCCCCGCAGGAAACGCCTCAGGCCAGAAGCAGCAGTGGCAGCCTCTCACCTGCAGCGGGATCTGTCTCAGCTCCCATTCCGTCTCCAGAGCCAAAGTTTGGAGGGAACGTGAGCTCGGGTCAGGACACACCAGGACAGCCTCATCCACCACGCCACAGGCTCCGGACAGGTGCTGCAGCCATGGAGTTGAAACTCTGACCTACAGAAAAGTCATCGTTAACAGGAAGCTCGTGAAAGATTTTTACATTTCCCTCTCAGCCCAACAGCAGTATTGCTGCCAGCATCCCATAGGAGGGGGTCCTAAGTTCAAAGGTTCTTCATGGTTGGTTCCATAGGAATTCTTCCTGTCCCCTGAAACTCCACCCTCCAACCTCCTGAGAGCCTCCAAAGGTGGAAAAAATAACAGGATTTTCTGGTCACTGGAAAAATACACCCGATAATTTTAAATACCTGACACTTCAGATCTGCACTTCTCTACCATATTTGTCATATGTGGTGTCCTACTGTGATTTCACAGCACTGTTAAGATACTTACAGGCAGGGACTAGATCTATGTAATTTTTTAGCCACCCCAGAAGATAACACATGCAAATATGAGTACTTTAAATAGAGGCCTAATGAGAAGGCAGCTGGCAAGTGACCACAATGAGGGAGCATAAGTAGTTTTTGCATCTGCCCAGCCAAGTTCCCTGTTCCTCAGTACAAAGAAATCTACTGAGTCCCCCCACAACCCCACCTTATTCACAGGCTTCTGTCACCCTCCCATACCTGCTGAACAATCTCTCCATCTTCCACATTAAACTTGACAATGTTCACATGGCTGAAAGGAACAACTCCGAGGGCCCACACCACCCCAGAGCCGTAAGAATACACCATCTGGTAGTGGATGCTGTCACTAAGAGAAGGAAGAAGAAATGGGAGTGTCAGCTTTAAACCCAGGACAGGATTATTCTCAGGGGCTGCCAGGCCTCAGCCAGATGTCACAAACTAGTAATTCCCAAATAGGTTTTGTTTGGTTCATACAGTTTGGGGGTTTTTGTTGTTGTTCTTAATTTGAATTAGTTGTCAACATTCAGAAGAGATTATACTTCACAATCAGATTTCTAAATTTTCCTACAGTTAGAAGATGTGACAACACTAAGCCTAAATACAGAGTGCCAATTAGGTGGGTAAGGCTGCCCCCTCCAGGCAGGCCAGGCGCTCTGCAGCTCCCATCCAGCCAGTGTTGCTCATGGATATTTCATAACCCACCTCATAGCATTTTCTTTGTTGTGTTTTTTCAGACAGTGTCTCACTCTGTCATCCAGGCTGGAGTGCAGTGGTGCGATCACGGCTCACTGCAGCCTCTACCTCCCGAGGCTCAGGTGATCCTCCCACCTCGGCCTCCCAAGTAGCTGGGATCACAAGCATGCACCACCATGCCTGGCTAATTTTTTGTATTTTTTGTAGAGATGGGGTTGCCCAGGCTGGTCTCAAACTCCCGAGCTCAAGTGATCCACCCAACTCAGGCTCCCAAAGTGCTGGGATTACAGGTGTGAGACACTGTGCCAGGCAAGAATTTGAAGTTTTGAGTCCTGCTCTAAACTTTGAAAATGGCCACAGGGTGTCTAAGTAGATCCTTTTCTCTTGTTCCCTCCCTCCATCCTGTTCCTTCCCAATTTCAATGCTTTCTACCAGCAGGAGCTCGAGAAACCATTTCATACTCACTCAGCCTACCCTGGGCTCTTCTTGAGTTGTTCTAACTCTTAATATGAATGAAAGGCTCAGTCAGAACTGGTACTTGAACTAGAAGTCAGAAGGCACAAAGTACCGTAACCATGAGCAAGTGAGTGGCTCCCGTAGCATGGCTCGCCCTAGCGCCCCAGTTTGAGAGTGTTCTCCTCAGTGCAAAGGAAACTCCAGGCATACTCTGGAGTCTCACCCATACTCACAGCCTTCAAGATCTTGTGAGTGCAACACACTCCATGCAATACCAACAAGAGACAGGCCTGGGTTAACGCAAATGCTTTGGGTCCCTCAAGGAGAAAGAGGAGCTCGTAGAGAGTACGACGAGGCAGCTGCTGCCTGTACACAGGCAGCCTTACCTTTCTGGGAGATGTTCCACCCACTTGAGGTGCCCACTGGAGAGGTGATGGAGGGCAAGCGTCATCTTCTTCAGGACTGCGATGTACCTCACAGACTCCTGCAGGCCAACCAGCCCAAGTGCCTGGAAACTGAGCACAAGTACAGGTTAGGAGCAGCCCACACCTGCAGAGCCTCAGGCTGGGAGACAGTCCAGAACAGTACACACTGTTGCTTGGTGGGTAAGAAAACAGGCTTTGGTGTCAAACACAGCCGAATTCGAATCCTGGCTCTGCCTCTTGTTAGCCAACTTGAGATTCTGCACTCGCAACCATGTGGTCACACTGCTTGCTTCCCTGAAACCATCTACATCCCGTGAGGGCTGTTCCCTCCTTCCCCTGGGACTTCACAGCAACTGGACCTACCGTCTGCCACATACCCATCAGACAGTGCTGTCATTACTGTGCTACCTGCCTGCCTCCCAATGGACAGCGGAATCCTCGATGACAGCAGCTGTCTCACAGTCCCGTGTGTTCCCATCGCCTGCGGCTCACCACGTGTTTACCAAATGAATTACTATCAGAAGACATATACGCTAATACAAATGACCCTATCATATGAACAACTTCAGGGGCCGGGCGCGGTGGCTCACGCCTGTAATCCCAACACTTTGAGAGGCTGAGGCGGGAGGATCACGAGGTCAGGAGTTCACGACCAGCCTGGCCAACATGGTGAAACCCTGTCTCTACTAATAATACAAAAATTAGCCAGGCATGGTCCACATGCCTGTAATCCCAGCTACTGGAGAGGCTGAGGCATGAGAATTGCTTGAACCTGGGAGGTGACGGTTGCAGTGAGCCAAGATGGCACCACTGCACTCAGCCTGGGCGACAGAGTGAAACTATGTCTCAAAAAACTTAATAAATAAAAATATATAACTTCAGCAAAGATGTAACAATAGCTCAAGTTATTCTTTAAACAAAACTAAACATTGGAAGTTTTATATTATGTTCTTTTATCTGGAACATTGCAAAACTCACAAATCACAGTGAAATTAGGAACAGCATTCAAGCACAAGCGCAAACACTGCACCTAACAGGTCTGCATCTAACAGGTGCTCAATACACGTTGGCCGAGCAAGCATATCCACAATGGGCACTCAATGGAAGACAAGCGCAAACACTGCACCTAACAGGTCTGCATCTAACAGGTGCTCAATACACGTTGGCCGAGCAAGCATATCCACAATGGGCACTCAATGAACAGCACGCCAATACACGTTGGCCGAGCAAGCATATCCACAATGGGCACTCAATGGCTGGCTCTCCAGTGGTCCCTGGGAAAAAGCCACAAGCCCAGACTTGCTGTCTGTGCAGATCTGTGTTCCGGTAAATCCTTTAACTCAGTCAAGATAGAATCCAGTTTCTCCCCTACCTGCCACTGTCCAAGGTTATCTCCCAGTTCAGGCCCCCGATGTTAGTCTCCCAGGAACGCATGATTCGGCCTCCATTGGACACAGTGATTGCATCTGGAAAAGAAAAGATCATGGTGAAGTCATTTCCCACTTGTTCTGTCGCCTCCTAGGGTCCCACTGTGAGCAATGGCCTCACCTCTGATTTCTGGATGCAAATACATGTTAAACAGGTACCTGGCCTTCACTGTCAGGAGTCCCCCATCTCCTTTCCCTACCAGATCCTGTACAGATGACGGAGCCAAGGAATGGGACAGGGAGCCGGCCACACAATGGAGACATGGGAGGACTCTGCTTACCCTGTCCGTGAAGCAGCATGGCATCCACAGCCCCTTCTGCCGTGCCCTTGTCAACATGGCGCCACACTGAGAGACATGAAAGTTAGACGTTACTGTGAACAGAAGGAGGCAACCCAGAAGACTAAGAGATAAATGAAGAGCTCTTCATTTGCACAGCAATGTCCAATTTTATTTCGAGGGAGTGAAGGAGTATAGCTAACTGGCAGTGATCCAGTACCATTCACGGGGTAATGAGGGTAGAAGGGGTTAAGAGGAGCCACTACTGTCCGGGCCCCACTACCACCCCATCAAACATAAACAAACAACAATAAGATTAATAAAATCCATCCGAGTCACAAGAAAAATAGTGATCATAAATTCTATTTCCATTATTTTAGTGCCTAAAAACATCCAGCCAGTGTAGGTAATTAAGTGAGAGTATGTGAGAGTTTACTGCAAAGTAGAATAATGTGTTTTCTGCAGCAGCATCTTTTTTTGAGACAAGGTCTTGCTCTACTGCGCAGGTTGGAGTGAACTGGCGTGATCACAGCTCACTGTAGCCTCAACCTGCCGGGCTCAAGCAAGAATCCCACCTCGGTCTCCCAAGTAGCTGGGACTCTAGGCACACGCCACCATGCCTGACTAATTTTTTTAATTTTAGACATAGGGCCTCACTGTGATCCCCAGGCTGGTCTCAAACTCCTGAGCTCAAGTGATCCTCCCGCCTGGGCTTGCAGCAATATCCTATTTAAGGGCACTCAGGATTCAGGCTAAGAGAATAAACTGCAAAGGTCAGTTATAAGAATATACAAACATTCAAAGATGGTAAGACTGAAAAAAGTATCAGAATCCACTAGGAGAGGCGTCTTTTGGCCAACATGTCCCTTATTCAGGAATCAGCCAAGCAGAGTTGGCAATGGTGAGCCTTCTATCCCTTAGGCAGCCAGTAGACACGGTTCCCAGTTCACTCACAGATCTCCCCAGTTCTGGAATTTAATGCTGCAATCACATTCTTCTCTGTGGCTACAACCAACTTCTTAGATCCAGGGGAAAATTCCAAGGAGGCAAACTTGAGCTTCCCAACATACTGCTGTCTCCTGAGGAAGAGTACAGGGGAATGTAAGGAGCTAAAATCACCATTCCACAAAATGCTCCAGAAAAAAACAAATCACACGGCTATCACCATCACACTCATTTTAGGACATATAAGAAGTGTTTGTGGCCGGGCACGGTGGCTCATGCCTGTAATCCCAGCACTTAGAGAGGCCGAGGCAGGCAGATCACAAGCTTAGGAAATCGAGACCATCCTGGCTAACATGGTGAAATCCCATCTGTACTAAAAATACAAAAAATTAGTTGGGCATGGTGGCAGACGACTGTAGTCCCAGCTACTCGGGAGGCTGAGGCAGGAAAATGGCATGAACCTGGGAGGCGGAGCTTGCAGTGAGTCTAGATCACGCCACTGCACTCCAGCCTGGAGGACAGAGTGAGACTTCGCCTCAAAAAAAAAAAAAAAAACCAGAGGTGTTTATTAGCCAGGCTCTGTGGCTCACACCTGTAATCCCAACACTTTGCGAGGCCGAAGCGGGTGGATCACCTGAGGTCAGGAGTTCGAGGCCAGCCTGACCAACATGGAGAAACCTCATCTCTACGAAAAATACAAAATCAGCTGGGCATGGTGGCTCATGCCTGTAACCCCAGCTACTCGGGAGGCTGAGGCAGGAGAATTGCTTGAACCCAGGAGGTGGAGGTTGCAGTAAGCCGAGATCGCGCCACTGCACGCCAGCCTGGGCAACAAGAGGGAAACTCCGTCTTAAAAAAAAAAAAAAAAGAAAAGAAAGAAAGAAAAGTCTTAAACAGAGTCTTTCCCCCGTCATCAGCCTAGCCTGGCCCTGGGCTCAGAGCAGAGTTGCCCAAAACACTAAGCAGTTAGGAAATGCCATTCATTCATTCATTCATGAAAAGAAAATTGCATATACCTAGTATTCTGCAACATTAGATACATATATCACCTGCTATATATGTGTAATATACACATATGACATTGTGAACAGTTGTGCACATCATTAAAAATGTAACTTATGTTGCATTTGTCACACTGTCTGGCATAACAGGTACTCAACATATATGTGAATCAACTTTTCCAAGACAGAAAATACTTCAGAGGAGGAGAAATCTGAGCTGGGCCCTGAAGAATAAAGTGTAAAGAGCAATAATAACAGGTAACATTTAATGACTGCATTCAATGAGCCAGGCATTGTTCTAAGTAATTTAATTGGACTGTCTCATTCATTCTCACAAGTACTGTAATAGATAACAGACTGTTAGTAAACCCATTCTATAGACAAAGAAACAAAGGCACAGAGTGGTTAAGCCACTTTCCCCAAGATCACACAACTCTTAATTGGTAAAATTTAAACAAAAGCAAGCTACTTCAGGGCCTTAAGGAAGACGTGAGTGGGTGAATGAAGGAATGAATGGCATATTCTAGCTGCTTAGAGTTTTGGGCAATCCTGCTCTGAGCCCAGGGCCAGACTAGGTTGATGAGAGGGGGAAAATGGTTCAGTTTAGGACTTTTAAGACGAAAGCTCCTGTTCAAATGCCTACAAGACACCAATTCGAGTAGGAATTCAAGTTCACTGACGGCTTGGTGACCTCTGACACCTGGTAGACCAGAAACCTGACAGTCAAAGAAATGGAACTTGACGAGGGAGAACGGGATCAGTGACCTCTGACCAGCACCCCAAGCATGCCTGGATGGCAGGGCCGGCTTACACACAAGGATCAGCTTAGAAGGACCCCTAACACTTGGTTTAAAGCTCTGCTTCGAACGACTTTAAATCCTTAATTTTTGAACAAGGCGCCCCACGTTTTCATTTGTACTGGGTCCTGCAAATTATGCGGCCAATCCTGTTACATGACAACCCCCTTCCCTTTAGCAGGCAGGAGACAGGTACCGTGGAAACAGCCACTTATCTCTCGAATATGTTCTACACGTACGCACCAATCAAACTTGCCCACTTGGTCTTCGTAGACCGCGGCCACAGGAATCAGCAGCGCAGCCCAAAGCCAGAAACGAGAAGCCCACTCAGCCGCCATGATGCGAGCGCAGGCACCGCCCACCGCCGTCCCGGCATGCACCGGGCCGCGGGCTCCGCCTCCGCGGGGCCACAGGGTTGGGACCGCGCGCGAGGCCCTCGGTCGGACGCTTGGGATTCGGGGATTTCCTCGGCACGCGGGAAGTCGCCTTACAGGCGCGGGAGAAAGCGCAGGTGGTGGCTCGGGAGGAAAAGGCAGACTGCAGTGCACACTGGGTCAGGCACACGCGAGGGGCAGCCCCCGAGAGCCGTCCCAGAGGCCCCCGCGCCGCCGGGGTCCTAACGGGGTGCACCGTCTTCCGCCGCACGTGGATTCAGCGCGATGCCCAAATCCAAGCGCGACAAGAAAGGTGGGCAAAGGGGGCGTTGGGCCTCTGGGGGGACCTCCGTGGGTTGGCTGCCCAGCCTGCGGTGAGAGCTTCGGGGCGGCGGGGACGCAGAATGGAACGCCAGGACATCCTCGAGGTGTTCCGCTGCCTCGCTGCTAGCTGGAATGGGGGCTTCGAGGCTGTAAAACCGCCAGAGGGGGCTGACGCCTGGTCGGGTCCGGGGAGCGGAGACTCTTGCCTAGTTTCAAGTGCTCTTACAAGGCCTACTGGGCCGGGAGGCAGCTCCTGAACACCGCCCCCGGCTGTGCCTGGTGCCGTTTCGGCCCACTTTTCCCAACCTCGGCCCTTTCTCATCATCCTGCGCTCCCGCCACCCTTGCTGCCTTTCCCCGTTCCCTTCTTTCAGCACAGGCTTGTTCCCGTGTCTGGCGTTGTGTGTCTGCGGTTGTTTCTGTCTGGCATGCTCACCTCTTCGTATGGCTTGCTCCTTCTTAGTTGTCAGTTAATAGGACTCCTCTGAGTCAGGGTCTCGCTCTGTTGCCCAGGCTGGAGTGCAGTGGCGCCACAGGCCGGGAGCGGTGGCTCACGCCTGTAATCCCAGCACTTTGGGAGGCCAAGGTGGGTGGATCATCTGACGTCGGGAGTTCTAGACCAGCCTGGCCAATATGGTGAAACCCCTTCTCTACTAAAAATACTAAAAATTAGATGGGCGTGGTGGCGGGTGCCTATAATGCCAGCTACTTGGGAGACTGAGGTGGGAGAATCGCTTGAACCCGGGAAGCAGAGGTTGCAATGAGCCGAGATCGCGCCACTGCACTCCATCCTGGGCGCGACAGAGCGAGACTCCGTCTCAAAAATAAGTTACTGCAGCCTTGACCTCGTTGGCTTAAGCGATCCTCCCACCTCAGCCTCCCGAGTAGCTGAGACTACAGGCGCACGCCACTACACCCAGCTAGGTTTTGTTGTTGTTGTTGTACACCCAGCTAGGTGTTGTTGTTTTGTTGTTGTTGTTGTTTTATAGAGACGACTTTCAGTGTGTTGCCAAAGCGGTCTCGAACGCCTGGGCTCCAACGACCCTCCCGCCTCACCCTCCCAAAGTACTGGGATTACAGGAGTGAGCCACTACGCCCGACTTGAGCGTAGTGGCTCACTTAAGAGACCATTTTTGACCACCTTTGCTGTGGTGGCATCTCTTTTAACCCGACTCCCTGGCATACTCAAAAATATTCAGGGGTCTGGCACTTTCTAGGCGTTGGAGGATACAACAGTTACAAAGAAGTCCTGTTTCTTATCGAGCCTAACGTTTCAGGGGAAACACATTCCACAAAATGCTAAAAATCAGATTGAGTAAAAGTGGGGTGAAGAGACGGCGATATTTTGTATAATGTGGTCAGGAAAGGTCTCACTGATGAGGCGACGAACAGAAAATTAAAGGAAGTGAGCAACCTGTGGAATTGTGCACCTATGGAATTATCTGGAAGAGTGCTGTTGCAAGTAGAGGGAACGTAAACTAAAAAGGCTCTGAAGTGGGAGCAGGTTTGACATGTTTGGGACAAGAGGCCAGTGGGGCTGGAGCAGAAGGAGCCAAATACAGTTGGGGGAGGGGTTAGGCAGAGAGGGCAGGACTTCCTCGGCCTTAGTAAGGCATTGGCTTTCCTGCCCGGGTGAAATGGGTAGCAGAGGACCCATGTGATTTACCTTTGCTTATAAAGGGTCACTCTGGTTGCCTTGGTGAGAATAGTTGGGGAAGACAGGGCAGAGGGCAGGGATGGAAGCAGTGAGACCAGCATTAATCCAAGAGAGGGTGATGCTGACTTGAGCCAAAGGTGTAACAGTGGAAATGATGGGAAGTGGCCCGCTATATTTCGTTTGCCCCCCTTTGCTCCACTTACCATTGACTGATGTCAGTGTCTTTGTCTGTGTGGTAGCTTGTTAAGAGGGGCTGAGTGCCGAGCAGGTTAAAGAAGAGAGGCCCGCGTCCCTTTGTGAAGGCGCCCGGGGCTTTGCAGTTGGAGTTCTGTTAAGTGTTTGTGGAATGATTTGATTCTGTGGAGGGGGCCCAGGTCAGGTCTGGCAAATGCAAACTCTCTGGGTAGAGGGCAAATTGGGCCCCAGCCATCTTTACAGTAGAGGTACATATTCCTCCCCAGAGAGGTGTTGCTGCATCTATGGGTCCAAATTGCAAAACTGGAGTGCAGATACATAACAGGAGATTCAGTCCCCAGTCTCATGGTTGCACAGCATAGGCCAGCTAGAGTGGCCTCTACATCATGGTCAAGAGCAGCAAGGGGCCGGGTGTGGTGGCTCACACCTATGATTCCAACACTTTCGGAGGCTGAGGTAGGCAGATCTCTTGAGCCCAGGAGTTCAAGACCAACCTGGGCAACATGGCAAAACCCATCTCTGCAAAAATACAAAACTCACCTGGGCATGGTGGTGCATTTCTATGGTCCCAGCCAAAATTAGCAGGCCATGGTGGGGTGTGCCTGTCATCCTGTGGGAGGATTGCCTGAGCCCAGGAGCTCAAGGTTGCAGTGAGCCAAGATCGTGCCACTGCATGCCAGCCTGGGTGACAGAGTGAGATCCCATCTCAAAAAAGAAATAAAAAACAGGGGCCTGCCTCAGCCAGCAGGTGAGGTCTGCCACCGAGAGCACTCCCAGCAGCAGGAACAATCTCCACCCCCACACCGCAATCAAGTTTTCTGGGTCAGCCTTAGGGGCTAAGAAAGGCCTAGTTTGTCTAAATAGCAGGAGTTATATCTAGAGATCTTCAGGGCCACGATGCTAATGAGTAGGCATTCCGTGGGCCCTGGGAATGGCTTTGTGTGCCAGAAATGATGGCCACGAAGGCCCGACTGAGCTCTCTGCCAAAGGGGAGAAAAAAATAAGTCTCCAGTGCATCTAGATTGGTCTCTCATCATCTCTCTCCTTTTTGTTTTTATTAGTCTCCTTAACCAAAACTGCCAAGAAAGGCTTGGAATTGAAACAAAACCTGATAGAAGAGGTAAGAGGTGGTTCTTTTTCTAGAGCTTGCAATTGTTTCTTTTATCAAGGTAGGTATAGGACTGTTGGCCAGGGGAGCATACTATTGGAAAAAAAAAATCTCCAAGCTGCTAATCCAGCCCTTTTTCCTCCAGCAGCAGCACCAGCAAAAACTTCCATAGTGATGATTTCCAGCTTTGACTAGCTCGTACTCTGTGCCCTGTCCTGCACTAAGCGTTTCCTATGTGTCATTCCACTCCATCCTCATAACATCGCTGAGATGTGGGTACTAGGTGATGATGTTGCTGTTTTGCATTTGGGGTCACTGAAGCTTATAGAGGTTTGTTAGCCTGCCCAATGACAAAAAACAGGAGGAGGCCAGGAACCGTGGGCCACGCCTGTAATCCCAGCGTGGGATTACAGTAATCTGGGAGCCCAAGTGGTCAGATAGCTTGAGTCTGAGAGTTCAAGAGCAGCCTGGACAACATGACAAAACCTCATCTCTACAAAAAGAAAAGAAAAAAAAAAGCTAGCTGGACATGGCGGTATGCAGCCTGGGCAACAGAGTGAGACCCTGTCTTTAAAAAAAAAAAAGCTGGGAGATTTACCAGGTGTAGGTGACTGCACCAACCCACTGTCTGTACAGCTTCTGACCTGCCAACCTGGGCTGCAGGCTGGATGCAACAGTCTCCTTCTGCACAATGACTCCACTCCTGGAGGCTGCCTCCTGGTGGCTTTGGCCAGCACCATGTGCAGAGCAGTGCCGATCAGCTGCCTCCCCTTATAACAGTGAGGCACCACGTGTTTCCACGTAGCAGGACCCTTCATAGTGTGGGTGAATGTTTCTAGGTTAACCGTTGATGGTCAGTTCCACTGTTGGTCATAGATAAGTGAGAAACCTGGAAAACGCCGTGGGGTGTAGATCCATGGCTCAGCCTCCCCTGTAGTTAGGGATCCTAATTTCAGTAATAGAGGTAGGAGACAACCCAATTAGAGGCCTCCAGTTCTTCCAGTTTCCTTAGTTGTCAGGGGCCCAGAGCAGATTCATTCTCATCTGAGGCCAGAGTAGTGCCCATTGTATGCTGCTGCTTGAACTCAGAGCCTGGTGAATTGTCCCACAGCTTCGGAAATGTGTGGACACCTACAAGTACCTTTTCATCTTCTCTGTGGCCAACATGAGGAACAGCAAGCTGAAGGACATCCGGAACGCCTGGAAGCACAGCCGGTGAGCGGGCAGGGGGAAGAAGGCCCTTCTGAGTGGGGACCCGGCCAGGCTGCTCTCAAAGTATAGGAGCAATTTCTGACCCTTTAGGTGCCTGGGTCATGCCACTGATACCTTAATAATGACAAAGTGCTACCTGCCACTGAAGAGCACTTCCTTTTCACTGTTACAGCTGGTCTTGAGCCGGGTGTGGTGGCTCATGCCTGTAATCCTAGCACTTCGGGAGGCTGAGGCAGGCAGGTCACCTGAGGTAGGAGTTTGAGACCAGCCTGGCCAACATGGCAAAACCCCTTCTCTACTGAAAATACAAAAATTAGCCGGGCATAGTGGTGGGCACCTATAATATAATCGCAGCTACTCGGGAGGATGAGGCAGAAGAATTGCTTGAACCCATGAGGTTCAAGTGAGCTGAGATCGCACCATTGCACTCCAGCCTGAGTGACAGAGTGAAACTCCATCTCAAAAAGAAAAAAAGCAGATTTTGCACTGAGCTCCTGGGGGCAGGACTTGGCAATTGAGATGTTTGAGAGGTGGTCCTTTCCAGAGAAGTGGCCCTTTAACCCTGGACTTTGGGCCATTTAGGAGCATCACACTAGTTTTAGAATGTCAGCATGGGCACTGGGACACAGACAGTGACCTGGGAGCAGGATGCAGGAGCCACATGGCCAATTTCTGTCCTGGAGCAGGTGGCTCTGGTGTTGGTCTCCTGCTGCCCTAGCTCTGGTTCAGGCTGTTAACGTGCCTCCTGCATACATCTAGATGGAGAACCCATACATGAGTACATGATGCTCGTGATAGGCTGGGAGATAAAGTGTTGCCATGTCAGGGGTCTGTTCGTGGGAACATAATGAAAAGGACCCTGAGGTGGGGACAGTGTGGCCAGGCAGCATGGAGAAGTGAGTGCCACTGGCTCAGCCTGGGCCTGAGCTCACTGGAGACCAGAGCTGCTTTGCATATTGCTGAGGGGCGGGGAGGGCAGGGCACTTCCTTCACAGAACGCTCTTTTTCTTGCTTGGTAGGATGTTCTTTGGCAAAAACAAGGTGATGATGGTGGCCTTGGGTCGGAGCCCATCTGATGAGTACAAAGACAACCTGCACCAGGTAAATCTCTGGTTTTCACGGGGTGGGGCTGAGGCAGAGCTGCCTTCTCTCCCACTACTCCCACGTGATAGCCTCCCCCAGCCGTCGGCTGGCCCGTGGCTCAGGGAGAGCAGGGCCTGGCTTAAAGCTCTGGGTTCTCCCTTCACCTCCGGACCCAGGGAATAGCACCCTTCCTGCCTCCCACTCCTTCCTGCTGTGACCAGCAGAAACATCTTTAAACGTTGCCAAATGTCCCCTTGTGAGCAAAAACGTGCCTAGTAGAGAACCACTGCTCTAATGTGACCAAGCTGGCCTCACTCTTGATTTGTAGGTCAGCAAAAGGTTGAGGGGTGAAGTGGGTCTCCTGTTCACCAACCGCGCAAAGGAGGAGGTGAATGAGTAAGTACTGCTGAGGAACGGAGAGAAAGAGGCGGGTGAGGGGGATTTCAGGGACGGAATGATGCAGGGACTTCATTCCATATGCGGCATCAAGTTGGAACTGCTCCTGGAAGCCTGTCACTGAGCTAGTGACCTGGGACCACAGCCCTCTCTGCCCTCTCCAGCATGGCGTGGTGGGCTGGCTGCTGGCCAGCAGCCAAGGTCTGTGAAGGCCCAGGGCCACGGGACACTTGGGGGAGCCTGACTCACGGGCTGGTGGTGTGGCCAGGAGCATCCCCTCTTACTGCTTCTCTTTCCCTTAGGTGGTTCACGAAATACACAGAAATGGACTACGCCCGTGCTGGTAACAAAGCAGCATTCACTGTGAACCTGGACCCAGGGCCCCTGGAGCAGTTCCCCCACTCCATGGAGCCACAGCTCAGGCAGCTGGGCCTGCCCACCACCCTCAAGAGAGGTATGGGCAGCCCTGGAGCCAAAAAGTCACAGCCTAGAGTCCAAGAGCACAAGTCTGCAAGGTCATCCCTTTCTGGCTGAGCAAGTTCTCTCTACAAGCCTCCATTTTCTCATGTGAAAATGGGGCTAAGAGTGTGCGCCTCACAGCTGGGGTGAAAGCAGACAATAACTTATAGTCTTGCAGCTGTTGAGGGACAGGGGACATCAGGGGCCTGGCGCCTGTTTAAAAAAAAAAAAAAAGTCAAAAAATTAGACAGGCATGGTGGTGTGTGCCTGTGGTCCTAGCTACATGGGAGGCTGAGGCAAGAGGATCACTTGAACCCAGGAGGTCAAGGCTGTGGCGAATCAAAGGGACCTCAGGGAGACAGCCACTGCCCAGTGTGTGATGGAGCTGTGGGGAGGGCAGGTGGCTGACTGGATTCCTCCTAACGTGGCAGGGACAGAGATGGCTCTGCAGGCCTCTGGGCCAGAGGTAGCTGAGAGCCACCCTCTTCTGCAGGTGTGGTGACTCTGCTATCCGACTATGAGGTGTGCAAGGAGGGCGACGTGCTGACCCCAGAGCAGGCTCGCGTCCTGGTGAGTCTGGCGCCTTGAGGGCTATTGCAGGAGGGGCCGCTGGCTGGCTTCTGCCTGCTGAAAATGACCCCTTGCACTTTGAATACCTCCATTCCTCCTGATTCTTTGTTCCCTTTGTCTCTTGCAGAAGCTTTTTGGGTATGAGATGGCTGAATTCAAGGTGACCATCAAATACATGTGGGATTCACAGTCGGGAAGGTTCCAGCAGATGGAAGACGACTTGCCAGAGAGCGCATCCGAGTCCGCAGAAGAGTCAGACTCAGAAGACGATGACTGAAAGGGACTCAGGACTGAAGGCCTCCTGGAACCTTCTGGGTCTCACTGGACGATGCAGGACTGCTGCCGCCCCTCTGAAGAGAGCAGCTGTTTATTTGTCTGTAGACAGGGAACGTGATGGGCACTGACTTCCTGTAAAGAATAAAACTCTGGGCCGGGCGTGGTGGCTCAAGCCTGTAATCCCAGCACTTTGGGAGGCCGAGACGGGTGGATCACGAGGTCAGGAGATCGAGACCATCCTGGCTAACACGGTGAAACCCCGTCTCTACTAAAAAAGACAAAAAACTAGCTGGGCGTGGTGGTGGGCGCCTGTAGTCCCAGCTACTCGGCAGGCTGAGGCAGGAGAATGGCGTAAACCCGGGAGGCGGAGCTTGCAGTGAGCTGAGATCTGGCCACTGCACTCCAGCCTGGGCAACAGAGCGAGATTCTGTCTCAAAAAAAAAAAACTCTGGGCCAGGTGCAGTGGCTCACGCCCGTAATCCCAGCACTTTGGGAGGCCAAGGCGGGCAGACCATAAGGTCAGGAGATTAAGACCATCCTGACTAACACAGTGAAACCCTGTCTCTACTACTGTTGCCCAGACTGCTCTGAAACTCCTGTCTTCAATCAGTCCTCCTGCCTTGACCTCTCAAAGTGCTGAGATTAAAGGTGTGAGCCACTCTTTTTTTTTTTTTTTTTAAATGACTGAATAATAGTCTGTTGTATGAATATATATATATATACCACATTTTCTTTATCCATTCACTGATGGACATTTGGGTTGTTTTTAATTATCAGCTATTATGAGTAATGACACTGTGAAAACTCATTCCCAAGTTTTTTGTGGGGAGATATGTTTTCCCTTCTCTTGGCTATACACCCACAAGTGGAACTGCTGAATCCTATGGTAATTTTATGTTTAATCCTTTGAGAAATTGCCAAACTATTTTCCAAAGCGGTTGTACCATTTCACATTCCCCCCATCAGTGTGTGAATTTTCTCCCATCTGTCTCTTGCTCACTCTCTTGCCATGTGACATGCTGACTCTGCTTCCCCTTCTGCCGTGATTGTAAGCTTCCTGAGGCCCTCCCCAAGAGCAGATGCCAACAGCTTCCTGAGGCCTCCCAAGAGCAGATGCCAACATCACACCTTCTTGTACAGACTGCAGAACCGTGAGCCAAAGAAACCTCTTTCTTTGTAAAATGACTCAGTCTCAGGTATTCTTTTATAGCAACGAAACAGACTAACACACAGCATCCTGCGAGGCTTTATTCTTCATTTGGTGGTGACTCTACTGTTAAGTTTTTGTCCAAATACTTCCGTCCCTAAGAATTTACTGAGGCAGTTCTAAATTACAAAAAGCATGAGAGAGCACAAGAGGTGACAGAAGAGCCTTGGGCAGCCTGAGCCACAGTGGGCCTAGATGAAGTAGTTGGGACATTCGTGGGCAAACAAATGCCAGGCTTGATTAAAGGCATCCACGACAGCTGGCTCCAGGCCCCCTCTCCTCTGCCGCTGCCAAGTTCTGCTCCAGCTGCTCCAGGCTGGACATGCCTAGGATGACCGCGTCCCGTGGCACCCTTGGAAAGGAGACAGCCAGAATTCAACCTCTGCTACACAGTGACTCCACTCACAGCCTCCCAGTCACTTAATTCTACCGAGATTTGGGCTCTCTTATATCCCATATGTCCAGAAGGAACTTAAGGTGCCTTGGATAGTTGTACCTATGTCACTCAAAAACCTGTATTATTTCCCTACTGCTACATGACGCTGCCAGACAGACCTACATCCACAGCCCAGTTCCCACCCCCCCAGCAGCCGTGTAAAGGACTAAGTTATTAAACCTCTCTGGAGACTCAATCCTTCTCTCTGTTTTCAAATACACTATGTGTATGAAAAGCAATGTAGAGCACTTAGCTCCTATTTATTGAGCACCTACTGTATATGTGCCAGACACTATTGCAACATCTAAGGCTGGAGTTGGAGAAAAATTTGAAAGAGGAAGACATGAGGCACTGAGAGAGGGAAATTTCAGCTCCTAACAAAAGGATGAGACTAGTGGGCTTTACAGTTAAACCTGTGTTAAAATGTATTCCCCTTTCATAGCTGGGTGAACCTCAGTTTCATCAACACTGTGACAGTCATTTCATAAAGCCGAAAGAATAATGAAATCCCCTGCAGAAGTTTCCTATTATAAAGCTCTGGTACTGTGATACCATCAAAGACCAATGGGAAGGTGGAGCACAGTGGCTCACGCCTGTCATCGCAGCACTTTCAGAGGCTGAGGAGGGTGCATTGTCTGAGCTCAGGAGTTCAAGACCAGACTAGGCAGCTTGACGAAACTCAGTCTCTAAACACAAACAATTAGCTAGCCAAGGTGGTGCCTGTCTGTAATCCCAGCTACTCAGGAGGCTGGGGGAGGAGAATTGCTTGAGTCTGGGAGGTGGGTAGTTGCAGTGACCTGAGATCATGCCACTGCACTCCAGCTGGGGTAACAGAGCGAGACTCTATCAAAAAAAAAAATAAAAACAAAATAAAAACAAAACAAAAAAAACAAAAACAGTGGGAAGACTGTTTATGAGAGTTAGAAGAAAATTTCCAGTGGAATTGAGAAAACAAATGCTTTGGGCCTACCTAAATGCTGGTCCTGGAAGGAAGAAGCTGAGCGCCCAGGGTCGCGGTTACCTGCAGCTGTGAGTGGTGGTACATCCACCGGAGGGCGGCTGAGGTCGTGGCTGGGGTGCTGGCGCCATATGCAGCCTGCAAGGCTCTACCAGGCAATGCCTCGAAGTGGTTCCCTTCCAGAAGCTGAAAGGGGGATGGTGGCACAGGCAGCCAGTACCATGGGGCCACACTGGGAGCCACAACCAAAGGGTCATCCAGGGCCACTGCCCCACCCCACACCCTGCAGCCCTGAGGGGAGGGTGTCCTTTCTGGTCACAGGACTCCTAATACCCGCCGGGCATCAGAACCACTCCAAGATGCCGCCCTGTCAACAGAGACCTTAACCAATCTTTATTCCTGAGAACCCACTCAGCCTGCCTTACTTTCCCCAGGACACAAAACACTGAGATGGGGCAGGATTCGCTCCCAGGCCTCCTAGACCTCCCTCCAGGGCTCCTTCTTTCCTTCCTAGCAGGTGATTGCTCAGGAAAGAGTTTATGATTTCAAGACTCTGAGGTCCAGGGATTTCTATTTTCTCCTGCAGGTCTCCTAGACAAGAAAACTCGCGGAGGGTTTGGAAATTCCTGAAGGAACGTAGAGCAGGTGCAGCAGCGAGGAAAGGCTCTCACTTCAGGAGCAGCCCAAGACTTCCATTCCACATAAAGATGACCCTACCCCAGCCATCCACACCAAGCACCTCCAGCTCACCGACTCCTGTAGATCTCTGCCCACTGATTCCCTGTAAAGAAGCTGCCCACGGGCTGTTTCCCGCCCTGTCCTCATACTTGTACTTGCCAGTCAGGTGCCTCTGCGGAAGGCAGCAATCAGCCCCCCGGGCCCAGAGTGCTCCCAGAAGCTGCCACATCCCCTCAGGGCTCTGGTCTAGGGAGGCAGGGACCCAGGAGGGCTGAAGGACGCAGCCCAGCCTTCTGTCAAACCCTCCCTGCTTCCCAGGTCCTGGGCTGGGCATCTGTGGGTCGGGAATAGGCTGAGTCAGGGCCAGGAATGCTCCACGTACCAGCCAGAGGGTTAGGAGGTACAGAACTCAGTCCAAAGTGCCTGAGGCAGGAGGAGTCTGCCCACCCGGCCGGTGGTGGCGCCTGTACATGCCCTGCAGAGAGAGGGGACTGGGAGAGAGTGGATGTGAGCCAAAAGAAGGACCTCAAATTTACTCCTTATAGAGCTCCTTATTTTAGACCTTATCAATTCCAGGACTTCAACCATCTGGGCATTTACTTATTCTTATGGTGCTGGTGAAAGGGGCTTATGCCCGAGGAAAATTCATTCATTCAGCCAACTTTCATGAGCACCAACTACGGGCTGGTTGTCAGATTTGAATTCCTGCCAAAAGGACAGGGTCCCTTCCTCAAGATTTTGTTATAATAAGGTCAAGTATAAACAGTTATAATCGAGTAATGAGGCAATCTTAATAGACGAGAAAGTTCTGTGACCAGTGCCTGGCACCAAGCAGGTGTACAAATATTTGTGCAATGAATCATGAGGAGGTAAAAATGTCATGACCTGAGTTCTCAGGGTCTTCTGGGCCCATCTAGAAAGGCTTCCAGAGAATAAGACACGTATATGAGACCTGAGCCCTTTCCCAGGGAAGGCAGTGGCAGGAAGGGACAGTGGCGGGGAAGGACAGTGGCGGGAAGGGCATGTCCCAGGCTGAGTGCAGGGCCAGGTGGGGAAGGAAGGGTCCAAGGTGCACAGGCCGGCAGGAAGGAAGCAGATGCCCAGTGGCCAGCCTGAGGAGCTTGAATGGCATTCTGAGGGTACCTGGGAGCCATCTGCAGGCTTTCAGCAGGGGGTGGCTGCTATGCAGAGGGCACAGGAGGCAGTCAGGGCGGCAAAGACAGCCCAGAATGAGCAGGAGTTCTGGAGACCTTGGCCTCTGCAGCCCGGCCTCACCTGGTACAGTGGGCACGATCCAGCCATTGCTCTTGCAGAGGATACAGATCTCGGCCACTTCCCAGGCGGCATAGTTGGAGAGGCCAAGTTCCACGAACTTGCCCTGCAGGGGTGAGGCAGCAGTCAGAACGCAGTGCAGCGCAGACCAGGAAGGGGAGGCCAGGGTGGGGCCTTGGGGAGTGGGGCTGTTCCCTGCTCCACCCTGGGACCGCCTCTGGTGCCTCTTGATCTCACCAGTGGGATCAGAATGAGAGCAGAGCGTGGCCACCTCCCCCAGAGCTCAGGGTCCCCTCACCTCCTGGCAGCTGGTGGCAGGCGCGCAGCCTCTTCCACCCGGGTGCTGTGGTCAGGGTCCATGAGGTGCAGAAGAGGTCCACCGGGACACTGCAGCCGCTTTCCAGTGACGCTCCAGCTGAACCGGAGACTGTCAGGCTTCAGGAGTCTCCCATCCATGGATTGGCCTTGGTAGCAATTTTCACTAAGAGGAGAGAGAAATGAAAATCAGGCTGGACGTGGTGGCTCACGCCTGTAATCCCAGCACTCTGGGAGACCGAGGTGGGTAACCACCTGAGGTGAGGAATTTGAGACCACTCTGGCCAACATGGTGAAACAGCGTCTCTACTAAAAATACAGAAATTAGCTGGGGGTGGTTGTGCATGCCTGTAACTTCCTGCTAGGAGGCTAGGCACAAGAATTCCCCATGAACCGGCTGGGTGTCGTGGCTAACGCCTGTAATCCCAGCACTTTGGGAGGCTGAGGCAGGCGGATCACAAAGTCAGGAGTTCAAGACTATCCTGGCTAACACGGTGAAACCCTGTCTCTACTAAAAATACAAAAATTAACTGGGCATGTGGTAGGCACCTGTAGTCCCAGCTACTCGGGAGGCTGAGGCAGAGAATGGCATGAACCTGGGAGGCGGAGCTTGCAGTGAGCTGAGATCGCATCACTGCACTCCGGTTTGGGTGACAAAGCGAGAGTCTGTCTCCAAAAAAAAAAAAAAGAAAGAAAGAAAGAAAGGATTGCATGAATCTGGGAGAGGAGGTTGCAGTGAGCTCAGATCACGCCACAGCAGTAAAGCCTGGGCAACAGAGCAAGACTGTCAAAAAAAAAAAAAAAAAGTAAGCTTAACACTCTTCTCCTGCCCTCAAGAATCCTAGTTGGAGGTCGGGTTCAGTGTCTCAAACTTGTAATCCTAGCCATTCGGGAGGTTGAGGCACAAGAATCGAGTGAACCCAGGAGGCAGAGGTTGCAGTGAGCCGAGATCTTGCCGCCATACTCCAGCCTGTGTGCCAGAACCAGACTCTCTGTCAAAAAAAAAAAAAAAAAAAAAAATCCTAGTTGGAGATGAGGCACAGTGGCTCACCCCCATAAGGCCAAATACGGCCCAGGAGGGTGGGATCTCTTGAGCCCAGGAGTTTGAGACCAGCCTGGGCAAAATGGTGAAACCCCGTCCCTACAAAAAATACAAAATTTGGCTGGGCATGTAAACATGCCTGTAATCTCAGCTACTTGGGAGGCTGAGTTAGAGGATCACATGAGCCTAGGAGGTCAAGGCTGTAGTCATCAAATACTGTGCCACTGTGCTCCAGCCTGGACAACAGAATGAGACCCTGTTTCAAAAGGAAAATTAAAAGAATCTCTAGGGTCTCTAGTGGGTTGAATAACAGGGAGAGGGAGGTGAGTCCTCCTCCCACTTTTCACACTTAGAAAGTCACTTAGGCTGGCAGGAGGGCAAATACTGGAGCTCCTTGAGACCTGGGAGGGAGCAGGTTTGAGGAACTATTCATTTGGAATTTTTCCATGCCACCTCCACCCCTCTGCTTCTCAACTGAACTTCACTTCAGATCTGAGATCTGAGGACTTTCACCAGCCAACCTTGGACTCAAAGACAGAAGACAAAGAAGGATTACAGAGGAAAGAAAAAAAAAAAGTCAGAAATAAGGGCCAGGCAGAGGGTGTGGATCTGTGTTCGCTCACACCTGTAATCTCGGCACTTTGGGAAGCAGCAGTGGTGATTACTCGAGCCCAGGAGTTTGAGGCCAGCCTGGACAACAAAGTGAGACTCTGGTTTCAAGGAATAATACAAAAAATTAGCCAGGTGTGGTGGCACAGGTCGTGTTAATCACAGCTACTCAGGAGGCGGAGATGGGAGGATGGCTTGAGCCTTGAGAGGTCAAAGCCGCAATGAGCCATGATCGCACTATTGCACTCCAGCTCAAAAGAGCAAGGCCCTGTATCAAAACAACAACAAATAACAACAAAACCAGAAATGATCAGAGCTCTCACCAAGTGGCAGCCAGTGGGATCTAGAAAGAGTGTGGCACTGAGATGCAGGCACAGCTTCTTTTTGTTTGAGATGTACCATTTGCAAATAAGAGGAGAAATGGACAAGACACCACCAGACAGTCAGAATGGAAGGAGGAAATGGTGTTCAAGTATTAAGAACAAAGAAACAGCTAATACTTGCCCTCACTAAGTGGTGCTCAAGCAGGCATCGCCCAAGCACCAGACATGGCATCAGACTGAGGTGGCTCCTCCTGCCCCTTTACACACAGTATCCTCCCCTCAGGCTGGGCTACACCTGCCTCCAGCACCCGCAGTGTTGCCAATCACATTTGCCTTTCCACACCCATGCCCACTGCCCTGACGCCTGCCCCTCTACTCCTCCTGCAAACCTCCCATCCGTCTCTTCACGGGGTCCCTCCCAAAAGCAGGCTCACTCTGGCCCCCAGCATCCTAGAATCAACTCCTGGAGTGGGCCAGTCCATCCAATAGCCTCAGACAGAGCTTCCCACAGAGAGGGCAGTGAGACCCTGTACCACACTCCAATTTCACTGCTAAGGGAGCTGCCAAGGTTCCCATGCTACCCTGGTGAGGTACCATTGTGAGCACCACAAGGTACTCAGAGCAAAGTCCAGGTCCCTGAGCAGGCTGGGCGTGAGCAGAGGAGCGCTGGTGGATAGTGTGCTGGGTCTAAACTCGATTTCAGACCGTGCCAGGAGTGCCAGGCGATAAGCACAGAATTTCTGCAGATCAGGCTCACATGGGCACCTGCAGGGCACAGGTAAAGATGTTGTTGCACAATGCCAGATTCCAGTGTTTTTCGTGGCTCCAGAGAGGGGCTAGAAGTGGGTCATTGCAGGCAAGACCAAGTCACTCAGGCCAGTGAGGGTGCTGAGCTACTCCCGGAAGAGAAGACTGTGAGAAAAGGAGCCAGACAAAGCACTGTCCAGTTGTACAGAGCTAGATGTGCCTGAGGTGCCTGGGGTTCCCAAGGCTGAGAGGTGGATTTGGGTTGGGGGTGGGGAACAAAGCCGGGTGCTGCCTGGGGCTAGGAGATCTAAGGTGCACGGTTGTGGACAGGCTCAGCTCTGCACGGTGTATGAGAATCAGGGGCCACTGTTACCTCTACAGTCGCTGCTTCCCAGCCCGAGCCCCAGGCCGCTGCCAAGGATACCCGGACTGGCCGTCGCTGCAGGAAGGCCGTGTCTATCTGCGTGGCCGCGGCTCCTGAAGGCGCGCGTGACTGCTGCGCTGGTGGGCGCGTCCATGCGGCGCCCCATCTCCATGGCGCCTTAGCACCGTGGTGCGGCCGGGCTCAGCGATAGCTGCCGGGGCTACGACGGCGGCAACGGGATACTGGGACAGCCTGGCGCAGCACGGGAGCGGTCAGTCGGAAGCACCAGCCCAGGAACTGGCGGCCGCTTGGCTTTGTGGGACTGGCTCGGGCCCCGCCCACCGCGGGTGGGGTTGAGGCGCGGCGGAATGTGCCCAACACTGCCCACGCGCTGAACTCCGCGCTCAACCACGAGGATGGTCTGCACTTGCACCAAGCAAGAGGCGAAATGGCTGTGGCTTCTACCGGGTGACTCACTTCGGCCATTTCCACCCTCAACGTCCGCAAGGGTGAGGGGTCCAAGGGTGGCGACGATCCCCAAGGGCGGGGGACTCCTCCCCCGTCCTGTCGCCCCCATCCCTGGGCCTCGCCTGCCCGAGCTGTCCCAGGTCTCTGGGTTCTCCAGGAGGAGCTAGGAGTGGGGGTGGACCTAAGGGCTGTTCCACCTGCCTGCCCTGTGGTTCAGGAGGACGAGGCTTACCAAAGGCTTAAGACAGAGTCCCCGTGGAGGACAATATGGTTAAAGTCATGAAAGAAAATAGAACTGTTAGCATTAAATCTGTACCTAAATGGAAAATAAAAATAAAAATAAAAATAAAACAACTGACTGACTGTGGTGACTTACGCCTGTAATCTCAACACTTTGGGAGATCAAGGCAGGAGAATAGACAGCCCAGGAGTTTAAATCCAGCCTGGGCAACATAGGGAGGCCTGGTCTCCAAAGAGTAAAAGAAAAAAAGAAGATAGAAAATGACCAATGCCCGGCTGCAGTGTGCTGTGATAGTTCCACTGCACTCTGTCTCTGGGTGACAGAGGCAACCTGTCTCCAAATACAAAAAGAAAAAAAAAAAGACAAATAGACAGATGGAACAAATGAAAAACCAACAGCAAGATTAATTTAAACCTAATCATATCAATAATTACATTAAATATAAATGAAAAAAATACAAGTAAAAGGCAGAGATTGTTAGAATGGATAAAAAGCAAAACTCCAACTATATAGTAAATATTAGAAAACTATTGAAATATATGAACAGAGTATGAACAGCAAAAAGACTTGATTAGGGGCGAGTGGCTCACGCCTAATCCCAGCACTTTGGGAGGCCAAGGGCGGCAGATCACCTGAGGTCAAGAGTTGGAGACCAGCCTAACTAAAATGGAGAAATCCTGCCTCTACTAAAAATACAAAATTAGCCGGGCGTGGTGGTGCATGCCTGTAATCCCAGCTACTTGGGAGGCTGAAGCAGGAGAATTGCATGAATGTGTGGGAGGGGCAGAGGTTGCAGTGAGCCAAGATGGCACCATTGCACTCCACTCCAGCCTAGGTAACAAGAGCAAAATTCTGTCTCAAAAAAAAAGAAAAGAAAAGAAAAAGTTAAAACGATGGGAAAAGACATACCTTGACAAAACTAAATTTTAAAAAGTTGGAATGGCTACATCAATATCAGTAAAAGTAGATTCAAAACAAAAATACTGGCTCACAGTGGTTGACACCTGTAATCCTCAGCACTTTGGGAGGCTGAAAAGGACGACTGCTTGAGCCCAGGAGTTTGAGACCAGCCTGGGCAACACAGAGAGATCTTATCTCTACAAAAAAAATTTTAAAAAGATTATCACAATGTGGTAGCATGTGCCTGTGGTCCCAGTTCTTCAGGAGGCTGAGGTGGGAGGATCAGCTGAGCCTGGGAAGTCAAGGTTGCAGTGAGCTGTGTTCATGCCATTGCACTCCAACCTGGGCAGCAGATTGAGACCCTGTCTCAAAACAACAACAATAACAACAACAACAAAAGCCTACCAAAGACAAAGAGGGACATACCATAATGACAAAGAGGTCAATTAACAAAGAAAATATAATCCTCAATGTATATGCAAATAAAAGTAGAGCATCAGAATGCACAAAAAGCAATAATAGAACTTAAGAAGAAATAGACAAATACAAAATTATAGTTGGTTTCAACACACCACTCTCAACAGTTGTAGAACAGTTATCAGTCATAATTTCATGGTGAAACTCAGTAAAGGTATACAAGACTTGGAACAGGTCAGGTGCCGTAGCTCACGCCTGTAATCCCAACACTTTGGGAGGCTGAGGCGGGTGGATCACAGGCCAGGAGTTCAAGACCAGCCTGGCCAAGATGGTAAAACCCCATCTCTACTAAAAATACAAAAAATTCGCTAGACATGGCGGCAGGGTAATCTCAGCTACTTGGGAGGCTAAAGCAAGGAATTGCTTGAACCCAGGAGGCAGAGTTACAGCGTGAGCCGAGATCGTGCCACTGTACTCCAGCCTGGGTGACAGAGCAAGACTCCATCTCAAAAAAAAAAAAAAAAAAAAAGAAGACTTGAATAACACTATTTAACCAATTCCACATAAACAACATGAACGGAATACCCAGCAACAGCAGAATGTGCATTAAAGTGCACATCCACCAAGATATACCAATATATCCACAAAGATATATCTTTGGAGGCATAAAACAAGTCTTAATACATGCAAAGGAGGCCAGGCGTGGTGGCTCACACTGTAATCCCAGCACTTTGAGAGACAGAGCAGGAGATCACTTGAGGTCAGGCGTTCCAGATCAGCCTGGTCAACATCATGAGAATCCATCTCTATTAAAAATATAAAAAATAGACAGGCATGGTGGCATGCACCTGTAATCTCAGCTACACGAGAGGCTGAGACAGGAAAATCACTTGAACCTGGGAGACAGAGGTTGCAATGAGCCAAGATCATGCCACTGCACTCCAGCCTGGGCAACAGAGTGAGATTCTGTCTAAAAAAAGAAAATACCAAAAATAAATTAACAGGCTGGATACAGAAGCTCACGCCTGTAATCCAAACACTTTGGAGGTCGAGGCAGGCAGATTACCTGAGGTCAGGCTTCTAGACCAGCCTGGGCCAACATGGTGAAACCTCATCTCTACTAAAAATACAAAAAATTAGCCGGGCGTGGTGGCTTATGCCTATAATCCCAGTTACTCAGGAGGCTGAGGCAGGAAATCGCTACCCCAGCAGGTGGAGGTTGCAGTGAATCGAGATCACACCAGTGCACTCCAGCCTTGGCAAACAGAGTGAGACTCCGACTCAAAAAGAAAGAAAGAAAAGAAAAGGGGAAAAAAGAAAAGAAATAAAATGAACACATACATTTCAAAGGATTTAAATAATACAAAGTACATCTCTGAGCACAATGGAATTAAACTAGAAAATAATAACAGAACTTAGAGCCTGAGAAGGAACTGAAAATAAGTAAATAGGTAAATAAATAAATAGAATAAAAAGGAAAAAGAGAAAATAATAACGGAATGATATCTGAAAATTTCACACACTTGGAAATTAAATTACCCATGGATCGAAGATGTAATCTCAGGGAAAATTAGATCATATTTTGAACTGAATGAAAGTAAAAACATGACATGTCAAATTTTCTGAGATGCAGCCACAGTAGTACTAAGAGGGAAATTTATAGCATCACTTTGACATATTATAAAAGCAGAAATATCTCAAATCAATAATGTAAGCATTCACTTTTTTTTTTTTTTTTTTTTTTGAGACGAATCCTCACTTGGTTGTACAGACTGGAGTGCAGTGGTGTGATCTCTGCTCACTGCAACCTCGGCCTCCCAGGTTCAAGCAATTCTCGTGCCTCAGCTCCTGAATAGCTGGAATTACACATATGTGCCACCACACCTGGCTAATTTTTGTATTTTTAGTAGAGACAGCATCTCGCCCCTAAGGCCAGGCTAGTCCCGAACTCCTGGCCTCAAGGATCCTCCCACCTCAGCCTCCCAAAGTGTTGGGATTACAGGCGTGAGCCACTGCACCTGTGTGGGTCTTTTTCTTTGATTGGGTTGTAAGAGTCCTGTCTCTTTCTAGCTACAAGTTCCTTAACAGATATGTGATTTGCAAAATACTGTCCCATTCTGTGGGTTGTCTTTTCACTTTCTTGATAGTGTTCTGCCACCTAACATTCTCAACTTTGATGGTGTTGATTTTATTTTTCTTTGCCACGTGTGCTTTAGGTGGCCAATATGTAAGAAACCACTGCCTAATCCAAAGTCATACTTATCCAGTATTTTCTTCTAAGAGTTTTACAGTTTTACCTTTATACATTTGAAAATGGATCTTGAGTTAATATTTTGTATATGGTATAGGAAAAGGCTCTCAAACTCCTGCGGTCAACGCTCACCACCACGCCCCGACTAATTTTTGTGTGTTTTTAGTAGGGACGTGGGCTCACGTGTTAGCCAGATGGTCTCGATCTCCTGACCTAGTGATCCACCCACCTCGGCCTCCCAAAGTGCTGGGATTACAGGCATGAACCACCACGCCCAGCCTCACTTTCTTTATGCACCTTTATAGCAAAAAGAGTTCTAAATTTTGATGATGTCTAATTTAATTTCTCTTTTGTTGTGTGTGCTTCTGAGGAACAGTTGCCCAATCCAAGGCCACAAGATTTATCCCTATATTTTCTTTTTCTTTCTTTGAGACAGAGTCTCGCTCTGTCACCCAGGCTGCAGTGGAGTGGCACAATTTTGGTTCGTTGCAACCTCTGCCTCTTGGGCTCAAGTGATTCTGGTGCCTCAGCCACCAGAGTAGCTGGGATTACAGGAGTGTGCCACCATCGTGGCTCCTGCATTTTCTTCTAAAAGTTTTTATAATTTTAGCCTCCATAGATTTAGGTCTATGACTATGTTGTGTTTATTTTCCTATATATGGTGTGAGGAAGGGGTCCAACTTCATTCTCTTACTTGCAAATATCTAGATGTTGTTGAAGATGGTTATTTTCTTCTCTTCTTCTTCTTTTTATTATTATTATTATTTTTAAGACAGAATTCGCTCTGTCACCCAGGCTGAGTGCAGTGGCAGGATCTGGGTCACTGCAAGTCTGGCCTCGGGTTCACACCACTCTCCTGCCTCAGCCTCCTGAGAGTAGCTGGGACTACAGGTGCTCAAATTACCAAAGTGGGCTAATTTTTGTATTTTCAGCAGAGATGGTGTTTCACTGTGTTAACCAGATGGTCGCATCTCCTGACCTCGTGATCTGCCCACCTCGGCCTCCCAAAGTGCTGGGATTATAGACATGAGTCACCACACCCAGCCTGAAGATGGTTATTTTCCTTAGCTGAATTGTTCTGTCACTTTTTTTAAATTAATTGACAATATATGAAAAGGGTTTACTGCTGACTCTAAATTCTAATCCATTGATTTGCGTCTGTTTTATGTCAGGACCAACTGTCTTTTTGTGAGCTGTAGTTGTTTTTCTGTTTATTTGCTTGTTTTTTGTTTCATTTTGTTTGGACACAGTCTCACTCTGTCACCCAGGCTGGAGTGTAGTGGCCTGATCTCGGCTCACT